TATACGACCCCCGTAGAAAGCTCTACGGGAATGCTCTATAGCGTAGCGGACTTCTAGAGCTTACCTAGCTAGAAACTATTCTAGATTCTCCGAGCTAATTTTCCCGATTTAGCTCTTGCAAATTGCCCTCTAGTCGCGGCCCTTCTCTAACCCGTAACGCGTAGAGCCTGCCCTACTCGCGGCGTTAAAACCGGCTCGAGTATTACGGTATTCTAAACGCATCTCTTGCTAACTCGGAGCTGCGATACCTAGCCGATAATATTAGGCGGGAGGACTACGAGCGCTAGACGGGATAGTATTAGGGGTAGATAAGAGTTACGGGAGCTTCTTCGCGGTATTATATTTATCCGCCGCGGATATTATTTCGATCGTTACGGAGTTAGTTTATCGATCTGCGGTCGTAGTAGGGTAGACGCGTCTAGCTTTAATATAGCAAGCGATATTCGATTTTCGCGTATATATAGATTTTCCCCGGCGAGTAGTAGATCTAAGTTCTTTAGATTTTCGGGGTAGATAGTTTTCGTAACTACGTAGGGCTTTACTATAGCGGATTTTGCGATTTCCGATATATAATAGTATTATAGCTAATAGCATCTACCTACTACTACGATTATCTATATACGCGTACTAAAACCCGATAGAAACGGATTAGACTAGTAATAAAGGGTATTATATAGTCTATGCGGGAGTTTATTTAATTAGTGTAGGGGTTAGAAAGTTTACTTGCGGGTTTAGAAAAGTCTGCTACGGAACACGTGATTCTATATTATATACACGAACACCCTTTATTACTAGTCTAAGTAGAGATAGGATTAAGTCTTCGTTGCGACCGAACGATTAACGAGCTATATCCGCTATATATCACGATGTCTGTCCTTTAGGTAGCTAGCATTATTGTAGCTCAGCATTAGCTTCTGTCTAGACTGCGTCTAAGGCCTGCTTTAGGTTGCGGAAGATCTAGGTGTACCGATAATAGCGGCCTTTCTAGGACTGGCATTGCTCCTCGTCTCTTCCCCGAGCCCTAGCTACCTACCCGAGCCCTAGTATAACCCGGGATTATGAGATCGGCTGTTCTATACAAAATCGCGTATAGAATCGATAATCTAGTCCCCGCAACTACCTCCGACCGGGCAACTACACTACTGCTAGCTATAAAGCTAAAGATTGTTAGTAAATTAGTAGTATAGCAAAATTAAAGGTATTATTAGTTATATTAGGCAAGTGCGAGCGCTCTATCTACTTAGGTCTAAGCGGGTTACGACCTGCCGCCTTATAACTACGCGAGGCTATATATGCTAGCTTATACTAGTCTCTTAGCTACTAACTAGACTATTGTTATTGCTATAGATAGCGCTACTAAGTGAACTAATAGTGTTGTTGCTATAGCACATTCTAATACAATAGTACTACTGCTAGCCGCACTAATAGCTATATAAGTAAGTACTGCTACTACTGCTATCTTTAGTAGTATTGTTACTAAGTAGCCTGCTGTCGCTATTGTTTAATTAACGCTGCCTACTATTAGTTATATTTAAGTTGTTGCCGTGCCTACTGTTCTTCTGCCTGTAATCGAAGCCTCTTACGTATACGTAGGTCTTTAATCTCTCGCCGGAGTAAATCTAACTTAGAAGGAGGCTGCGGAGCGACTAGAAGTAAAGACTCGACTCGTAGATTAAAGCACTCGAAGCTAGAAGGGTAATAAGCAGCGCTATAGGCACGATTAGCCTTCTAGTAAGGACACTATTAAGTGCGGCATTAGCTCTTTACGTACTTATAGTGCTTAGCAACGGTCGTACGAAGCTAAGTAAGCGATACGCCTAGTTCTAGTATAAAGTCCGCTATTATCGCTATTACTATTGTCTTCTGCTTCTTAGTAACAGTAATAGTGTTTATATCGTCTAATTCTCGAGCCGTTAATACGCGCTTTGTTATATATAGAGTAGCGCCGCTAGTTAATAGCTTCCGGTTGCTATATATAATCTCTAGCTCTCGTAGATAGAAGGTCCTACGGAAGTCGATAAACTAGTAAGCGTAGAAGTAGCTCGGCAATAGCATAGTACGGCTTCTACCTGTCTTAAGAAGCTTTATAATATCGTAAAGGTAAGGGTATCTATAGGTTCTACTAAGATAGTCGTTATAGCGGCATTGCGGATAGCTATACGAGAACGCTAAATAATTAACCTCGTTGCTATTGTCGTTAGTCTGCTATCTTAGAAGTGCTACGGCTCTTATATAAAGAGCCTTTACTTAAAGTAGACAATAGTTACTAATAGTGCGAGACACGCTCGCCTAAAAAGGGCTAGTTAGTGCCTTATTACACTTCTTTAGGTTCTTAGCAAGCTGAACACGCCGCCGGTTATAGCCTTCTGCCTACTAGTTAATTAGGCTCTCGAAGAGGGTAAAGATATCGTAGCGGCTGCTATAGTTAAGCTATTGTTTGATCCTTCTATATATAGCTTCTACTCGAGAGGTTGTCTTATAGCTAAAGTGAGCGACCTCGTTAGTCTAGCAGTCTACGATCCTCGTCTTAAACCGCTACTATTCCTTATATAGGTATCGTTTAAACTAGGGATAGACGTTGTCGAGCTTCTTAACGCTATCGTTAAACTCGTCCTTAGTCTAGCAATAGATAGTATAGCAGAATAGCTATAGAAACTTGCTTATATAGGGGCTGTCCGTCTATAAGCCGTTAACCTTAATCTATACAAAGCCGCCTCGTTCCTTATATACGCGCGTAAGCACGTCTTATTATAGATGCTAGTTACAGACGATATTTACCGAGTCCGGATATACTATATCGATAGCGGTTATAAGTGCTTCTTTACGGTTAGTACCTATAATAATAGGCATTGTATAGCCGGCTTGTTTAAGGCCTTTCCGTATAGCCTATAGTAACTATATAAAGTCCGCTTTATTAGGCTTCGGACGGACAAGACTAATACCTAGCTTAATCGTATTATTTATAGGGCTAGCGGCTACTATGTCTATTAGCTCGAGGTTATAGATATTAGTCGAGTATATAGTATTAATAATTAAGGTATATAGTGTCTTCTTAAAGGCCTCGAGCGACTTTAGGTAGAGTGCTATAATAGCTCGAATTGTACTATTCTCGGGATTGTTAATTATCTCGTAGAATATGCTATTCCTATCTAGCAACTAGACTATCCGCTCTGCCTAGTTATAACGTCGTCTCGCTTTAATATTGCGGCTCTAAGCAATGTTATATAAGTCCTACAGTTTAAGAATAACTCTACGGTCCCGGAAATAGGCTATAATCTTCGAGGTTAGAAGCCGAGCCTACTAGAGCCGCTCTAGTTCTTCGAGAAATTAGACAGTCCTTAATCGAGTCCTATATATAGCGAGGGTAACAACGTCGTCCTTCTTATAGTTATAATAGTAATAGCTATCTTTAGAAGAATAGCGGATCTCCTATTAACTATTAGGTTAGCTTAGATCGATAGTAACGGCGTAGAAGTAGAACTAACAACCTATCTTCTTAGAGCGAGACTTCTTCTTTATCTTATTATCGTTATTAGTCTAGGTGCGCTTATCTAGCTGTCCGAAGCAACTATATACCTAGAGGTAGCAGTATTTAGAGCTATTCTTATTCTTCTACGGCTTATACTGCTTAAACTCGTATCTAGTCGACTTTCCGAAGTTATTAATATAGTCTACTAGCGCCTAGTAAGACCTGAATTCCGACTCTTATAGTATAGGTCTATAGCGGCGCGCCTTCCTTAAGAATAGGTACTTCTAAGGTCGTAGCGATACTAACCTATTATTAGATAAAGCGATACGCTCGCGAGGTAGGTCTAGTAAGCGACTGCGACCTCGAATACGTGTCTCCGAGACAAATTAGACCTCTTCCTACGACTCGATACCTACTACCGCCGAGAGCGCGCCTTCTACTACTATTTCCGCGCCCTCCGTACCCTCTACTACTACTACTACCGCCGCCGCCGCGCTATTACCGTCGTTACTGCCGCTAGCGATAAGATTATCGAGAAACTCGTCGTATAATAGAGATTTAGCTATTTTCGATAGTTACTAAGCAATCTACTATAAAAGAGGGAAGAAATGCGAATTTTAGGTCTACGATAGAATTCGAGCCTTCGAGGCGCGACTTCCTAGGTATAACGCGCTACGCGCCTATTAACAACACTAACTAGGAATGGAAACAGCCTATATTAGGCGTAAATTGATATAGAGGCGATTCTACAATAGTGCTAGTACCGGGTTATACTAAGGCTCGGGTAGGTAGCTAGGGCTCGGGGAAGAGACGAGGGGCATTGCTTTCTCTAAGACGTAATAGTAGCATTAACAACTAGAAGCTTTATAAAACGCCCTAAATACACGGCAGAAGAAGAAGTTACCTTGTTATACATCCCTTTGTAGTAGAGCCGGAGCTAACACCGATTACCCTTACGAAGTCGACTGCGAAAGAATCTATAAGCTTCAACTATAGGTATTAGGCGACATATTCAATGAATGATACGACGGCACAGAATCATAGAGGTGCTTCACGTTAATTTACACCACTTGCTAATACGATCAGGAGATCCACATCCCGGCGGACTTGCATCATGCTGACCACTCTCGTGATTGCCGATTGCATGAATTGTCCTGCCGTTCTTGCCACTCATGCACGATGCCGTTGCCGTTGCCGTTCGCATAGACGCAGTTGGCAGCCACCTCGTTCGGTGATTGCACGATGAGGTGGAAGTCGCGGCAGAAGACGAAAGCAGGTACGGAAATGTCATCTCCACTTTGGTCTACGGTGTGGACTCGGAAACGAGATGCCGTCCCGACATCTTTGTTCAACAGCTTCGGTCACGCGGGCCGAATGACGGGAAGGGCCCAGGCAGCTTCCCACCACGTTGGACGTTACTTCCATATCGTCTTCTACCTCCCCGCTCTTTGGACTTGACACAACCTCATTGTCCGCATTCCACATGACTGCGTTCGGAAGCACACCATCACTGGTCTTCTACCACCGTTTCTCCAACGACATGGAACGGAATAATCGTTCACAAACCGGCTACCCAGCACAATACACGCATATGCCCGAGTGTGTGCCGGCATCGCCAAATCAGCATCCATCGCTGGCCACTACCTTTGTGCCGTACATAGTGGTGATCAAGAACCAGATACGGGCTGCGAATCCTGGCATTTCAGATGACCACTTGAACGCCGTCGCACTAAGACAACTCCAAACCCACGTTCAGCGTGCAAACACGTCATGAAAGGAGATGTCACGTCGAAAATCGCTACGATACAATGCATTTGCGATGCTTCGCGATACAATGTAGCATTGGCCAGGAGCATTGCATTGTCTGCTGGGCCTGATGCTTCTTTGTTCTTATCAACAAATGCATTGTCTGCGTGCGCATCGTGGTGCATAAATTGAGAGTCCGGGACAGCATGGAGATTCACATCTTTCAACTTCGTTACTTGATCAACGATAACCTAAGCAGGCTCTTAGGTCACATTCAGCGAACAAGTCAACTCACATCTCACTGCTGCCCCGAGCCACGACCGGCTCTTCCACCTCTCACACAAGATGTGGAGAAACGCCAACTGGTTTTATGAGGGCGAGGAACCCTCCCAGAAGCCCGGAGCTTCTACCCAACCAAGCAGACCCAGGGTAGCAGTCATTCGGCGAGACAATCGTCTCTTCACGACCATCAAGGAACGCTCTCTCACCGACACCCAAACGAAGAAGCGTAAGTCCACCGAAGACCCACCCACCCTCCCATCACCCCGCAAGAAGTCCAAGAAAAAGGACACAATAGCCCGCCATCACCGCACCCTCCACACCCCAACCCTCCTCCAAAACTACCTCCACAAACAAACCCACACAACCCACCACGGCAAAGCCGCCGAACTGCTAACCTCAATCACAGTCAAAAAATCCCCCACCTACCCCAGCCTCCTCGAATTCCACGTCACCTTCCACATCTCTCTCCTCCACCGCTCCTCAAAAACCAAAGCAGGCTACATCCTCGCCTACACAATCGACCGCTCGCCCACCTCAACTTGGAAAAAAGACCTCCTCTCCCCCCGAATCCCCGGCCACAGACTCAACCAAAGACCCATGGTCCATCATGACCCGTCCTTACACCCCAACGTCGAAGAGATACATATGATGATGCAGAATATCTATCATCAGGAGACGGGGGGTGTTCGAGAAGAATTCTCCGCTCACGCCGACGACTTGGGTCAAGAGAAATTACATTTCATCGCGGAATTCCAAGTCTCAGCCGCATTCCGAGGGAAGGGGTTTGCGCAGAAGTGTTTGAAAGGGTATATTTCTTCATTACTCCCGAATCTACCCGGGAACATGAAGTATGAGGGCGCGGTGACGTTGTCTCCGGCGGGGTTTTTGGATGTGAGGTTGAAGATGTTGAGGGAGAAGGGGAAGGAGAGGGTTGGATCTTGGAGGGATGTTGAGGGGAAGTTGATTGAGAGTTATGGGAAGAGTGGGTTTGAGGTTTGGTGTAGGAGTGAGGAGAGGTTTGCGAGGCAGGGGGGGATTACGATTATGGGGAGGCGGACGCGGACGGAGGGGGAGAAGAATACTTCTGCGATCCCGAAGGCGAGTGTTTTTGATCCTGAGATTCCTAACCTCCTCTCACTGCCCTCTACTTCTTCTACCCTACCTTGAAGCCCCATTACTGACTGCCTGTCCACAGAACCCAGCTCTAGCTCCAGATCCTCCTCTACCTCTACCTCACATCTTCACCCCTAACATCCCTAACCTCCCTCTACTGCCTACTACTTCTTCTACCCAACCTTGAAGCCCCATCACTGCTTCTCCACAGAACCCAGCTCTAGCTCCAGATCCTACTCTACCTCCTATCCCCAACCTCCCATCACTGCCCAGAACCACTCCTTCTTCTACCTTACCTTAAAATCTCTTATCACTACCTACCTACCTACCTATCCACAACGTTACCTTCACCTTCCTCCTTATCCTAAAACAAAACCTCCCGGGCCTCCTTCTTTAATAATAATAATAATAAAAAAAAAACCCCTCCCTCCTAACCTCAAAAAATCCCAATCCAATCCTAATTAAAACGCCTTTTACCATTCAGTTCTAGTTCTAGTTCTAGTTCTTCTAGTCCTCGTTCTATTATTAATTAGACATATAAAAAATTTGGGGGGTTTTTTTTTCATTTATTCTTCTATCTAGTTGGTAGTATGTATTCTAGCTATCTATCAATTCCAAGTCACTGTCCATCTGGTAAGTAGAGTGAAGATGTTCTTTCCCTCATCTCACCCGAAAAAAAAACGCCTCGCTCATGCAAAATGCAAAAAAAAAGGGTATCTCATCTTCTTTACCCCCCCCCCCCCCCCCCTCTCCTCTACGCAGCCGCCATATCAATCTTCCTCCCCTTAACAGAAGTCCACCGAAAAAACGCCGACCCGAAAATCGTCAAGCTCGCCATAGCGACCGCAACATAAAACGTCTCAACGACCGCATCGTTGTAAGCCTGACGCACGCCTTGGAGTTCGTCGCCTTGAAAGACGGTGACGAGTTCCGTGGCGCCGGTGCCGAGGACGCGGGCGGGATCGATGCCGGGGACGGCGGTGCGGACGTGTTTGAGGAGGCCGTTTTGGAAGACGTTTTGCGCGACGGAGATGAAGAGGGCGCCGCCGAGGGTTTGGGAGAACATGACGATGGCGGTGCCGATTGGGATGTCCTGGGCAGGGAGGATGGGGGTTAGTGGGGGGGTTTATATGCGGAAGGATTTGCTTGACTTACGGGAGAGGGTAGGACGGCTTGGATCGCTATCATGGTTTGTTGCATACCGAGGCCGACTCCGATTCCGAACATGGCTTGGTAGCCGATCCATTTTGGATGGCCGGAATCTGGTTGGAGGGTGGAAAGCAGGCCGGCGCCGATGGACATGATTATACTTGATGCGATGACGAAAGGCGTGTAGTATCCGACGACGGTGATGATGCCTCCGGCCAGTAGCGAGACAATGACCAGACCGAGAATCATTGGGATGTTCATGATGCCTGATTTCGTGGCAGAGGCGCCCTTGATGGCCTGGAACCAAATGGGTAGGTAGTAGACGAGAACGAAGAACGCGGCTCCGAGAGACGCACCGAACCAAGCCGCCGACCAGACTGTGCGGTACTTGATGACTCGAGGTGGAACAGTGCCGTTGTCCTGCTTCCAGAACTGGATGCTAACGAAGATGATGAGCAAAACACCGAATGTCACAAATAATCCAATGATGCGGCCGTTGCTCCATGGATACTTGCTGCCACCCCACTGCAGCGCCAGAAGCAGGGATACAATCATGGGCAGAAACACCATAGTTCCGTACAAGTCGAATTGGTCGAGCTTCTCTTTGAAGCTGCTACCAGCCAAAGCCTTGGCTCGCTTTGTAGGATGGTAGAAGAGACCAATGAACAGGAGGGTTACAGCTCCAAAGGGCAGATTGATGTAGAAGCTGCGTGAAGGTCAGTGGACGTGTTGTTCGCAATTCAGATGTAAGTTGGGGGGCGAAGGGTATGACAGAATACATACCACCACCGCCAGGAAACATGATCAGTAAAAGCGCCCCCCATCAAAGGCCCCGCAACACTAGAAATGCCATACATGCCTCCAATGAGACCCATATAAATCGGCCTCTTGATCAGCGGCACAGTATTCGCAACTATAAGAATCGCTCCGGCGAAAATTCCCGCCGACCCAAGACCCGCGACCGCTCTGCCGATAATCAAAGCCACGGAATTCGGCGCGGCGCCGCAGACAGCGCTTCCGATTTCGAAGATCAGCAACGCGATCATGTACACCCATTTGAGGCTGAAGAAGGTGTAAAGTTTTCCGAAGAAGAGTTGGAAAGCGCAGGTGGTGAGGAGGTAGCTGGAGCCGTACCAGCCGACGTCGCCGATGGCTTGGAATTGATCTGTGATTTTGGGGATTGCTGTTGCGATGATGGTGTTGTCTAGGGCCATGCAGAAGACGGAGAGACATAAGGCGGTGGTGATGGCGGCGAGTTTCAAGCCACGAGGGAATTCTGTTTGGTCTTCTTGGGCGTTGGCATCGACGTCTGCCTCGCTGCCTTCAATGCCCTTCTCCATGGCGGTTTCGGCGTTTGCGTTCGGAGTGGAGTTCTGTCGCGAGTCTGTTGGTGCTACTGTTTCGGTGGGTTCTGTCTTCTCGAGCTCTGGATTTCGGTGTTCCGAGCCATCATCCTTGTGCAGAGAAGGTAGGCTGGTGGATGGGGATGGCGCAGCGGAAGGTGTTGTTGCCGATTCTGTCGGCTTTCTGTTGAATAAACGCATTCGGTCTCTGTGTAATGTGGAGTTTCTTGTTGCCAGCGGTGTGGAAGGGGAAGAACGGGGTATGAGATGCGGAAATGTGTGGCGGCCGTGGGCATTAAAAGAAGTGAGCCCACAAACAAAAACAGACTTCGAAGTTGTTATGTTCGGGTGGACACGGCGGAGCACACGGCGATTTGAGGCCGTACGTCCCTTTTCGTCTGCGGCAGGCAACAAGGCGATGACAGGAAATGCGTCAGAGACAAAAGAATGGAAGACGCGACGCTTGTGCGAGTGCGAATGCGAATGCGACGTCTCTGGCAGTTGCACTTCTTCCTCTGCGTCTGCTTCTTGTTCCATCCCTACCCATCATGATTCATCAACCCTATTACTTTACAATCCTAACCTCTCACACCACCCTATTCCTAGAAGGATCATACATACAGTACCGCAGCGTTTTCCCTCATCAGTGCTTGACTTCCTTCCTGCATACGGCCAAAGTTGACCGTACAAAAAAGCCACCGACCGTTCGCATTCCAAGACAAGTAATGATTGGCCAAGACGCTCGTTCGGTCGCGACCGGAGAATTAGAAAGACCGCAAGTTATTTCCACTTTATATCTTTTTCTCGTCTCGCTTTCCTCCTCGTACGATAGGGCTGATTAGCGACCAGAAGGATCCGACAAACGAATGTAAAACTGTGCTGTGACCTAAGCCTACACTACCCATACTCCGATTCTTTCCGTTCGTTCTTCAGCCTCACATACCCCGACTCCGACTCCGACTTCACACGTTCGTTCGTCCGAAGGGACACACAATAAGACTCATACTCAGCCTCAGCATCACAGAGACACATGGCTGATACGACCTCGCATGCAACACGGAGAAACTTCATATTGCTGATCTCATCATCTTCATTTTCAAAATCCTATCAAAATATCACCACATCTCACGATTCCTTCCATTCCACGAAAGATGGGCATAGTGGTATCACACAGCCAAAAAAAAGGCAACAGCTTCGAAGCCTTCATTCATGCTCCAAGATCTAAAAAAACGCCAGCCTCCCAATATCATAGATGCCACTGGCATAATCCGAAAAAAGCCTCTCCCTTGTCAATCAAGTCATGTTGCTCCCAAAACGCCAAAAGCCGTGTTATCGTTCATATCTCGGCAGTGCATTGTTGTCAAGCATTTCCGGGACATGTGCATCGCCGTAGAGATCTTCTTCGGTGAAGTTGGGCGCAGAAGAGAGACGCTGACTGTTTGACGACGCCTGACTAGAGCTACCGGCTTCTTGACCTGGTGGTGCTGAGGCTGAGGCTTGCAGCTGCCGTCTCTCGAGCTCGCGTTTGTCGTCTGTAGCGCCAGCTGCGGCCTGAGCCTGGGCCCGTGCAGGTGTCAGCGTCAAAGTCGATTGCTCGGGAAAGGCTGGCATTGTATCCGATTGACGAGGCTCGTACTCGGGCGTCCGCGGTAGAGGTATATGTCTGGCACAGTCAACAGGCATCACACCAGTGTAACGTGATGGGCCGGCAGTGAAAGCAGGTGGCGTTAGAAGCACATCTGGAGGTGCAGAAGCATCCGCAAATCCATTCGCGTCATCCTCCGGCACATACGGCGCAAATGGCTGACTGGAGCTTCCGTCTTGCTCGGCTCCTGGAGGCTGACTTGGGAGCAATCGCGCTTCTGCCCTTCGCAGTCGCTCTTTCTCCGAGAGCTGTGTCTCATCTTCCATCGGCGGCATAGGGACAGGCGGCTCTACTTCATAAGTCTCAGGAGGCCAGTATCCATACTGGTCTGCATAGCCATTGTAGCCTGCATATCCATCGTAGCCCCGGTACTCGTTGTGATCGTGCTGGCCGTAGTACTGGGGCGTGGAACCATCGTGTCCATAGTACGCTTCGTCACCACGATGCCTATCCTCAGCTTGTTGAGGTGTAGCACCGCCCTGCGCATCGGCAGGTGGCTGTTGTTGACCACCGTTTGCGGGTTCAGGACTTGGATCGGCTCTCAGCTTGCCCTTCTTGCGGGCACTATCTTTCGTACCAACGATGACCTCGAATGTGCAGGCAACCACTCCTTTGTCACGCCGTACAGCTGCAGTGTCAATCACGGGAGACTGATGAGGACCAAAGCCGCCAGCTCCTGGATTGTCAGTGGCCGTGGCACCGTGGTTGATAGTGCTGGCCAGTCCGCCTAGATTGCTGAAATTTCGATCTTGAGACGAAAGTTTGCCTTGGATGTCCAGGACCACTTCGATGTAATATCGAAAGCTGATCATCGCCCCTGGTACCGTGGAGATGGTGGGAAAGCATTCTTCTGGCACATGCACTCGACCCGTAACTTCCGCTGTAAGCAATACGGGATCTACAATCAAAGGCACCACAGTTTGTGAGAGATCTTTCCGAAACATGTGACTCGATCCAGCTCCAGACAGGGATAAGCCGCCAAGACCGGTGACGGACTTGGGATAGTAGTCTTCGTACTTGGCTTTCTTGCCTTTCTCGGTTGGACCAAGTGGAATGGAAGGATGCATGTCAACTCGAGCTTGGCGGTACAGCGTTATGATGACTCCATGCAAGCTTTTAACGTGCTTGGTATGGTTGACTAGAACCCGCACGCCAACACTGTCGCCTCGCAAGCATCCTCCCGAAAGAGTTTCTACCGTGGCGGTGATGGTCTTGGTGGGAAGAGATATTCTGCTGCCATTTGTGCGCTCGGCGTCACTCTGTCGCGGTGATGTTGTGTTAGAATCGTGATGCGATGGACGACCCACACTGCTCAAGCGGCTGTCAAAGCTGATCTCGCTGGGCGCTGGACTTTGTGAGATCTCGTCGGCTGCAGCGCCCAGACTAGCGCGACTTGGGGACGAAGAAGTCTGACTATCACGCCGTTCCAGGTCGCTGGTGTTCTGCGCTCCAGAGGAATCTTTGCGGCTCTTCCGTTCTACATTGTCGACCACTCGACGCGCCTGCGTCTTTGCCCTCGTCCGGCGTGAAATAGGCTCCAGAGTAATGGTACGCGCTTTGGGTGGTATTAATTGAGAAATGTCTATCCGTTCGACCATGTATACTTTGTGGTCGCATTGTATGGTGGGAGAAATGGTCGTGGGTCTCGTTAGTGTCGCTGTAATCATGTAGGAAATCGTTCCGCGCTCAAACTACACGCACGTCAGCATCTGCATCCTGCAGAGACACCTGCGGGTCATGGCGTACAGATATACTGCTTGGAAGATCTCGGTCTGGGAACTCGAGATTGAACTGGAATTTGTAGGTACCCTCGCCAAGCCTGCCGTCTCCGCATAGCACCACTTCGTCCTCAAACAGCGTGCAGAAGCCATTGCCAAAATACTCGCCCGTCTTTGCGCCTCTGCCCGTGCCAATGTGTGCGCCGTTTGCGCGATAGCCATCCGCAGGTGGCGATCCGGGATTCTTGTAGACCTGCACGAAGCCGTGCAGGCAGACGACCACGTGCGTCACGCGGGTCGGTTGCACGACTTTGAGGTTGACGCAGCCGGTCACCAGATCGCCGGGCGAGTACTGTCGGTGCGGGTCGTCAACCTCGATGTAGAAGTCGGTGAGCTTGCGCGTCTTATGCGCAAACGGCGAGGTCAGGCGCGTGAAGAATCGGCGGCCAGAGGGCGTCAAGGTGGGCGTGTTCGAGGGTGATCGTTCAGGTGCGGCGGATAGCATGCCTCCTCCAGCCTCGCTGGCACCCAGTGGAGGTCGCGGTCGCAGAGTGGCTCAGCGACATAAGCAGGCAGCGCGCGAGGCTGCGCTTCCTATACTACCTCCTGCTGGCGGGGCGGGAGTGCCAAGGGGTGGTTGCGATGCGGTCGGGAGGCTGTAGTCGTTCGGTGGGTAGGTTCAGGGTCGATGGGGTGCGGGTGCGGGTGCGTGCACTAGATGGCATTGTATCGTCAGCCTCCTGTCGGCGCGTCTCCACTCTCCACGACTGCTGGCGTGGGCGGGCCACGCTGGAGATGTGGTGGTGATGGTGGACAGCTGCTCTGGTCCCAGCCAGATCTGGCTTGAAGATTGGGGCAGTGCTAACGCCGAACGCTGGCATGGCATGACGAGTGACGAAGCTGCACAACTCGCCGCGCTGGCACGGCGCAGCGACCATGGCGGCGAGCCCGGCCAGGCCAGGCGTGCATGGGAGCGTGCATCAATGCTGAATATAATGCGTGAAGCACCCAACCCGTCCCATCCCCAGGAAAGGCCATTTTGCACGCACCTGTTCGTCCACTTCTTGGCTATTCCAATGCCAAGTGCACCAAGCTTTCTCGCGTCGCGGTCGACGTCGTCAGGTCACCGGCCGGATATCACGTGGAGGTGGAGGCTTTCGTGCTGGCGTTGTTCGTCCGCCTCCAAGTGTTCCTCCGCGGCGCCATCAACGTCGAAGCAGAGCAAAGCAACGATGGCGGGCGGAGGTCAATAATAATAATGTCACGCATCCGCAGCCACGTCCGATCCGGAAGCTTTCCACAGGCCTTGCACGACGACGCCAGCTTTCTGATCCTCTCGCCGCAGTTTAGCCAGCGCTTCTCCTTCTCTACAAGCGAACGCTTTGCCTTCCGCATGTTGTCGTGCTCGCATACACGCTCCGCCACCGCGACTCATCGATCGTTCGAATGATTCACTCAGCACTGCTTCCGGTCCAGAGAGCGCGCCAGAGCTTCAGCACATCCGCTCCTCAAAAGTCCGCGTGAGAAAGCATATCATACTCGGGATCCGAGAGCAAACTTCCGCAGCATGCACCCCAAGGGCAATGATCTGTCCCAAGAAGGACATCAGCTCATTGTTGCTTCATGAATCCCTGCGGCTGACGGACATTAATCTTACAGCCTGTTCACGGCCTCACACGCAGGCAGCCTCAAAGCAACAATAACATCACTGTTTTCCCTGCCTGCGATTACGTTCAAGATCGATGTGCTCTGGCGCAATACCACTGAAGCTTCATAGCATGCTTTACATGGCGGGGAAAGCGTGACGCGATGCAGCACATCATCACTAAACATGCCATGCTGCTGACAAAAGCACATTCTCCTATAAAAGAGTTGAGCTTTCAGAGTCTAGCTTGCTTGCATTTGACATAACTTCACCCTCGAGAAATCACCCCAATCAGTCACTCAACATGTCTCACAATTTGTACACAGACGAAACCCCAGCCGACGTCAAGAATGCCAAAGGCTTACACCTCATCACGCAGAACACGCCAAATGGCCAAGCCGTTCAGATTTTCCTAGAAGAGTTGAAGGACACCTATGGCACTGAATGGACCACCACTATCATTGACATCTCGTAAGCAAATATACCGGCCCGACCTTTGATTAGTCGCTCATTATTTTACAGAACCAACGAGCAGAAAAAGGACTGGTTTCTGCGACTTGATCCTAACGGAAGAATCCCCGTCCTCATTGACAACACTCAATCACCACCCTTCACAGTCCACGAGACCTCGGCCGAGCTATTCTACCTCTTAAAGTTCGCCGACAAACAAGACAAATTCGGCTTCACAAACGACCTCGAGCGCAACCAAGCTTTACAATGGACATTCTTCTGGCATGGAAGCGGAGCACCATACCAAGGTGAGTATAGTTCCTCACCACCTCAAAAAAAAATTAATCCTATCTCCCCTAACCCCTCTCTCCCAGGCCAAGTAAACCACTTCACCCGCGCCGCCCCAGAAAAACTCCCATACGCCATCACCCGTTTCCGCAACGAAACTCTCCGCGTCTTCGGCGTGCTGGAAATCCAGCTGAGTGGAAAGTACACCGGCGAGCCGAAAGAATATCTGGCGGGAAATGGTAAGGGAAAGTATAGCGTTGCAGATATCAAAACCTGGCCTTGGGTGAAGAATTGGGAGAAGTCTGGGTTTACGCAAGAAGAGATGGACAATTTTCCTCATCTTCTCAAGTGGATTGATCGTGTTGCTGAGAGACCGGCTGTCAAGAGGGGGATTGGGGAGGGGTATTTGAAGAAGTAAGAGGAGTTTTGAAGACGATTTTGTTTTTTTTTTCTTTGCATGCAGTTGCCAACATGTTTCTAGGGCCAAACTCTAGCAAAAGTCTAGCTCTTGCGGCTTTCTTTGAATCCAGACCACGGGTGGCTGGGATAGGCTATTACTTTTTCCTTTTCTTTCCATCTTCCATTATCTAGCTAAACTTCATATACTCACTGCATATTTCTTTACAATTTAAGATATAGCAATATATACAAGGGCGACGGAATTTTTTTTTTTCAAGACTAGTCCTACTGTGTGGTATGTGGCAATAAGCGCATGCTAGGAAGGGGTAAAAAAAAAATTAAGAAAATCCGTATGGTTTTTTTTGTTGTTGTTGTTGTTGTTGTTGTTGCTATTATTGGGTGGAATTGAAAATCTTATCGAATTTCCCCTACGCCCGAATGTTCGTTTCTCTTAGTTCTAGTGATGAAAAAAAAAAAACTTCCATCTCCCACAGCGGAGAGGCAAGTGACGGTCAACAGCACAGTCCCATGACGACAAGGTACATGTATTCTGGAAGTCTTGTCGTTATTGCCATGGGTTCTCAAAGCTATCCTCGACTCTCTTGCTTACTTACTCCTCCGCCGACCTTTGCCCTAGTAGAACTTGTTTGCCGTGTAACGTAACTATTCCTTCGTCTAGCTCGAGATTATACGTGCCTCTAGGCAGAGATGTAAGGCGGCGGTGGTGGGGTGGGTGGGTTCGAAATTTTGTGCGTAGTTCGAAGTCGAAGAGCGAGAGGGCGTGGTTGTAGAAAGAAGGGAGGGATTGTTGGAATGCAATGGGAGGGAACTACCCTTCCCAGTTCTGCGCGCCTGAGTCTTCTGGTGTGGATGGATGGATGGAACCCTCTTCCCAGTTTCTGTGATAAGCCTGCGGCATTACTGCTTCGTAGGTGGCGGCGGTCGGGTGGGTTCGAACTTTTGGGCGTAGTGTTGGCTTCGAAGATCGAGAGGTTGTGGTTGTGGCGGGAAAGAGAAGGTGGATTGGTGAATGAGATATAGAGGCGAAATGGCGTCTTTCGTGGTCTCTACAGGTCTGTCGTGTATGTAAGTTTAGGAGATGCTGTTTGTATGTGGGTACTGAGAGCTTCGAGTGGGTTTTCTTGCCCTGGTAGGTAGATGTTTGATTGATGAGGACCGCAAGCGAAGATGCCGCAGAGGCTGGGTAGGGTGAGGCCGTGTAAGAAGGAAGAGGTTTGGAATCCTGCGCAGGCGTGATGGCAAGGGCATTGGAAACGCCGCGTGAAGTCCGCTTCTTGACGCCTTAGGTTGAACACCACAGCTTCCTCATGCGCTGCAGCACTCCATTGCCTGCCGTAGGTACTGCCATCCACAAGCAGCCTGCCTTCTTTTTCGAAGATGGATTTCGAGCCTCCTCATTGCTCAGATGAATCAGCTCGTACCTTCTGAAGGCATACATTTGTTTGCTGCTGATTGCAGACATCTCGACGACTGACCGTGGCCATTGCACTATGGAGTACGGCATGATTTATGAACAGAAACCTTTGCACGATAATAACAAGGCCAAAACCTGCCGTGGCCAGAACAGGATATCACAAGAACGGTCGTGCTCAGCATTGAAACTCAAGCTGCTGGTCCTCCCTGTCTTCGCGGAATCAAGGGCCCTTGGAGAATACCGGTAAACTTTTGATATTGTTCAATTGCAAGTCCAATATGCCTTGGGAATTGAGAATTCAGGTATCGGATTGCTCAAAACTCTACCCTCGGAATTGGCCAGTTGCTGTACCGATCGTGTTCATTGTCAGCAGACCTGAGGACATGGCCCAAATCACTAATACGAAGTAGGAGGTTGCTCCGATGCGCAGATGCTCCGAGTGGTCCTTCGGCTTGGAATGTCAGGTAATTCGGCAGCCTGAGTCTTCCATACACGACATGTTCTCCTCCTCGGCATAGCACGACTTCTCCTGGTCCCGCTGTGAAAGTTCGCCCCGCCAAGAAACGACAATAGAGACGTTGGAAACCCATTTTCCATGGCTACAGCAAGCACATGGCACTGGAATTGCTTCGCCAACAACATGTCCCCTGTAGACCGTCCGCTCAGAGCGTTCGTCGGCAAAACTAGGATTGTTGCGGATTCTTCATACGTCTATGCCAACTTGTGCAAAGCGTATTCGACCGACCAGTGCACCCAGATCTTCTACAGCGGTTCGTCGGACTTATCATAACCCAGGACTTCGTCAAGGAGATGCCAGATGTTGTAATATATCCCGGACGTGTCTCTTCTCCTCTATGGTCGCCGCACTACACCGATATACTTGGATCTGGCATGCGGGATCCTGCATCCGTATCCCGCGGCTTATGGTTCAAGGTTTTAGCCTTGTCTCGGAGTTCCATGAATTTTTCTTTGCCTATTCTAATCCAGTCAGCTCAAGCCTTTGCCCAGACCTAATTCCTTGCTGATAGCAGTCGCACATTGCATCGTGCACGCCCATTGGTGTTTCTAATATTCTTGAATAATGCGAACACCATACAAAATGAGGCCGCTGGCGCTGAAGCTGACGTCTTGCACGGGGAACTCATTTGTCAGCCAGGGCTTGAATGATAAGGCTATCTTAGCAAGAAGAAGCAGTCAACATGCGACGTCGTCCGGATATATCGCGGAGGCTAAAGTTTCGATGGCTCCACCCGAACCACTTTCCTCAAATCGTGGAGGACCAGAGTATCGACTCGTGCTCTTGCTCGCTGCGGGCAAGGCAATAGTTGGTGTCGTCAAGCGGTTAAACTTCGATGAACAGATGCTGCCAGCCGGCGAGTGCTTAGTGCGTGCTTGGTTTACGCCTGATTGTCTTGGATGGCCATGTCTTAGACTCTTAGCGTATGGAGAGTGACGAGTCCCTGCTATGGACGAGGCGGCGCGGCGCGGCTTTAGGTTCCTGCGTACGGTAGGCGGGAGATTCTCCGCGAGCCAGCATCGGTATAGGACACGCCAGCACGTATGGGCTTGTTAGATGGCGTGTGAACGGTCGGTGAGCCCACGCCCACTTCAGCCAAGAAGCTGTGTGGTTGCAACAGCAAAGTGTGTTGCCAGGGCCAGCAGCGGCAAGCCAAGGGAAGTCTCCGCGTCTGCTGCGTGAGTGACAAAGACACCGCCGCCTTCGACTTCGAGCACAACGACGAGGATCAGAAGACCTCGCTGTCGTCGAGGCTCGTCGTACGAGCACGAGGTCGAACCGGAACTCAGCTCGGCTCTGAGCAATTGGCGGGTTTCTATTCGATCTCGACCGAGCGTGCACGAAAGCCTAGCATCCCTGTGTCTCATCCTCGGGCCAGCCAGCTTAGCGTGGCAGGACCATTGAGGTCATAGCTTCCTGCGTCGGCGTCGCTGAAGTGGGAGCTTCTTTCTTCAAAGTGAAGAAGGCTGTCAATCCTTTCACCATCCTCCCCTCCAGTTCACCGACGCGCACGACCTTATCCTTCCTGCCCCCCTCCTCCGCCTCCTCCTCCATCACAATAGCCACCGAGACGACTACAACCGCGAGCCCGCAGTTGCTGGAGTAGCAATTGCAACAGACAGCTGCTCAGCATGTCTGACTCCAACAAGCAAGAAGACCATGATTTTGGCACACCGCACACCGACGCCGACACCCACCAAAATGCGAACACCGTCCACACACGCCTGCGTGCTAATAGCTCTATCATGCAGGAGAGCAAGATCCTCGTCGCCAACAGAGGCGAAATCCCCATCCGTATCTTCAGAACCGCACACGAGCTGTCCCTCCAAACTGTAGCGGTGTACAGTCATGAGGACCGTCTCTCAATGCACAGACAGAAAGCCGACGAGGCATATGTCATTGGCAAGAGAGGTGAATTCACACCTGTCGGCGCCTACTTGGCTGGCGACGCTATCATCAAGATCGCGAAGGAGCATGGTACGTACACAGCTTATCACCCACTCCCAATGCCTCGCCACAGAGCTTCTCGTGGCTTCAAAACAAGCATCACGGTCAAGTTGCCGGGCCGTGCTACATTTCTGCAGCTTTTCCCTCGTGATTGCAATGGCTGACTCCGTCTCGCTCCGTAGGCGTGAACATGATCCACCCGGGATATGGCTTCTTGTCCGAGAATTATGAATTCGCAAAGGCAGTTGAAGCTGCGGGCATCATTTGGATCGGTCCCAAGCCGCAAACAATCAATGACCTCGGTGACAAGGTTTCTGCCCGCACACTCGCGCACAAGGCGGACGTCCCGACTGTACCCGGCACCCCAGGCCCCGTAGCCAAGTTCGAGGACGCGAAGTCCTTTACCGACGAATACGGCTTCCCGATCATTATCAAAGCTGCCTTTGGTGGAGGTGGCCGAGGTATGCGTGTTGTGTGGAAGCAAGAAGATCTGAAGGACTCGTTTGAGCGCGCGACATCCGAGGCGAAGTCGGCTTTCGGAAATGGCACAGTCTTCATTGAGCGTTTCCTCTACCGTCCAAAGCATATCGAAGTACAACTCCTCGGAGACAACTACGGCAATGTCGTCCACCTGTACGAGCGGGACTGCTCTGTACAGCGTCGCCACCAAAAGGTCGTCGAAATCGCACCCGCCAAGGACTTGCCCATCGAAACACGCGATGCTATCCTCAACGATGCAGTCAGGCTTGCTAAGAGCGCCGGCTACAGGAATGCTGGCACCGCCGAGTTCCTCGTCGACCAGGAGAACAGACATTACTTCATTGAGATCAACCCACGTATCCAAGTCGAGCACACCATCACCGAAGAAATCACAGGAATCGACATTGTGGCCGCTCAAATTCAGATCGCTGCCGGTGCCAACCTGTCGCAACTCGGCCTCACTCAAGACCGCATTTCTACGAGAGGTTTTGCTATCCAGTGCCGCATCACCACGGAAGACCCAGCACAGGGCTTCAGCCCAGATACCGGCAAGATTGAAGTTTGTGAGTAAACACTGCACGTCATACAACAAGCTATTCACACTAACACTCTGGACAGACCGCTCGGCTGGAGGTATGAAGGCATAGTTAATCCTATGTGTGAGACATTCGCTAACTGAGAGTTACTGCTTGTTAGGCAATGGTGTTCGGTAAGTCCACAAGTCTACAAGTCGTCTGAATGAATACTGACATCCATCGTAGCTTGGACGGCGGAAACGGCATGTACTCTTCATCCTCAATGAGTTGACTCGATTTACTGACTGCTTGCAGGTTTCAGTGGCGCCGTGATCACTCCGTAAGTGTCCCTTCCACTGCTCATCGCTGAGCCAGGCAAGCTGTTAGAAACACAGGCCCATTCTCAGCGTTCACAAATCTCAGAGTGCGAGGAGCTACGCTTGCAAGCTCTTCACACATGAACGATGGGCTTGCGTTCCTCTTCGGACACATCCATTACGCTTCAAAGAGCACGCGCTAACTTTGCTTCCCCAGATACTACGACTCCATGTTGGTCAAGTGCACGTGTCGAGGTAGCACCTACGAAATTGCCCGTAGAAAGGTCATTCGTGCACTGGTGGAGTTCCGCGTTCGTGGCGTCAAGACCAACATTCCTTTCTTGACCTCACTTCTCACGCATCCAACCTTCGTCGACGGCAACTGCTGGACCACCTTCATCGACGACACCCCAGAACTCTTCAACTTGATCGGCAGTCAGAACCGCGCCCAGAAACTCCTCAGCTACCTCGGCGAGCTCATCGTCAACGGCCCACAAGTCATTGGCCAGATCGGCGAGTCCAAATTCAAGGGCGATGCCATCATTCCCGAGCTCAAGGACGAGAGCGGCAAGCTCATCGACACCACCCAGCCGTGCGAGAAGGGATGGAGAAACATCATCACAGAGAAGGGCCCAGATGCCTTCGCCAAGGCAGTAAGAGCGAACAAGGGCTGCTTGATCATGGATACAACTTGGCGTGACGCTCATCAGTCGTTGCTGGCTACCAGAATGCGGACAATAGATTTGACCAACATTGCCAAGGAGACCAGCTACGCTCTGAGCAATGCTTGGGCTTTGGAGTGCTGGGGTGGCGCTACCTTCGATGTGGCCATGCGCTTCCTCTATGAGGACCCGTGGGACCGCCTGAAAAAGATGCGAAAGCTCGTACCCAACATTCCTTTCCAGATGCTGCTGCGTGGTGCCAATGGTGTCGCGTACTCATCGCTCCCCGACAACGCCATCTTCCACTTCTGCGAGCAGGCAAAGAAGAATGGTATGGACATCTTCCGAGTCTTCGACGCATTGAACGACATGGAGCAGCTTGAGGTCGGTGTTAAGGCCGTCCTGAAGGCTGGTGGTGTTGCCGAGGGCACCGTTTGCTACTCTGGTGACATGATGAACCCAGAGAAGAAGTACAACCTGGAGTACTATATGAAGTGCGTTGATCGCATCGTCAACATGGGCGCTCACATTCTTGGTAAGAGTTTGACAGCTGCATCGTACACATACATCGACTGACAGCTTCCACAGGTATCAAGGATATGGCTGGTGTCCTCAAGCCAAAGGCGGCCACTATTCTCATTGGCACCATCCGCAAGAAGTACCCAGACCTTCCCATCCACGTCCACACTCACGACTCCGCCGGAACTGGTGTTGCCTCCATGGTTGCGTGCGCTCAGGCTGGTGCTGACGCTGTCGATGCTGCGACTGACTCCATGTCTGGTACCACTTCCCAGCCAAGCATTGGCGCGCTCGTTGCTTCGCTCGAGGGCAGCGATTGCGAGTCCGGTCTCAACTCTCAGCACCTTCGTGCTATCGACTCCTATTGGGCCCAGATTCGCATGCTCTACTCTCCATTTGAGGCGTGGCTCACCGGCCCTGATCCAGAAGTCTACGAGCACGAAATTCCAGGTGGCCAGCTCACCAACCTCATCTTCCAGGCTTCCCAGCAGGGTCTCGGGTCTCAGTGGGCCCAGACAAAGAAGGCATACGAGCAGGCCAACGACCTCCTCGGCGACATTGTCAAGGTCACCCCGACATCCAAGGTCGTCGGCGATCTTGCTCAGTTCATGGTAGCCAACAACCTCGATCCAAAGGGCGTTGAAGAGAAGGCCGACCAGCTTGACTTCCCGTCCTCGGTGCTGGAATTCTTCGAAGGTCTGATGGGTCAACCATACGGCGGCTTCCCAGAGCCACTCCGCACCAAGGCTCTGCGCGGCAGGAGAAAGATGGACAAGCGTCCTGGCCTTTACTTCGACCCGATTGACTTCGACAAGGTCCGCACCAAGCTGAAGGAGAACTACGGTGGCTGCTCAGAGACCGACGTTGCCAGCTACATCATGTACTCCAAGGTCTTCGACGACTACAAGAAGTGGACCTCCAAGTTCGGCGACCTCTCGGTCCTGCCCACCAAATACTTCCTCAACAAGCCAGCCATTGGCGAGGAGTTCCACATCGAGCTGGAGAAGGGAAAGACGCTCATTGTCAAGCTTCTTGCTGTCGGTCCGCTTAGTGACCAGACCGGCCAGCGAGAGGTCTTCTTCGAGCTCAACGGAGAGATGCGTTCCGCCACCATCCTCGACCAGCACGCCTCCGTGGAGAACACCAGCCGTGTCAAGGCTGACACCAACGACAGCAGCCAGGTCGGCTCGCCAATGGCTGGTATGGTGGTGGAGATCCGTGTCCAGGAGGGCCACGAGATCAAGAAGGGCGATCCCATCGCCATTCTCAGCGCCATGAAGATGGAAATGGTCATCAGTGCGCCGCACTCCGGCAAGGTCAAGGACCTGAGCGTGAAGGAGAGCGACTCCGTAGACTCCCAGGACCTCATCTGCAAGATCGAGAAGTAGCTTTAGGGAGATGGTCGTTTTACGCATGAAATGAAATGGCTCTGGTAGCTCTGCATTGAGAAGTCATGGATGCTTACGAGTTCCTTTCTCGGGGTCTTATAGGACTCGTGTGTATCGGAGCGGAGCGATAGAGTGAAGACCTATAGGCCTAACATGTGCGTATCGACTCCGCTAACACTTCGCTACACTGCTCGCGGTGTCCTTTCTCGGGGTCTTACAGTACTCGCAAGTATCGGAGCGGAGCGATGGAGTGAAGAATTATAGGCCTAACATATGCGTATTGACTCCGCTAACACTTCGCTACACTGCTCGCGGTATCCTTTCTCGGGGTCTTATAGTACTCGTATATATCGGAGCGGAGCGATATATAGGCCTAATATATACGTACGTCTTAACTCCGCTAACAATTCGCTATACTACTCGCGGTATCCTTTCTCGGGGTCTTACAATACTCGCAAGTATCGGAGCGAAGCGATTAAAGTAAAGACCTACCTATAGGCCTAACATATACGTACGTCTTAACTCCGCTAACACTTCGCTATACTACTCGCGGTATCCTTTCTCGACGACGTTTTATAGTCCTTATAAGTGTTCGAGAGAAGGGATAGATAGATAGATAGATAGATAGGAGTAGAAGAGCGGTAGGTAGGTAGGCTTAGAATTTACTATCGTATTTTGCTAAAAGAATTAATATACGATAGATAGTGCTTATTCGGAGGTCCTTAAATCTCGACGTGCTTATAAGTATAGGAGTAACTCGGCGGAAGTATCTTGCTTTACTAGCTGTCTATATACGACGGATACAAGGATATTCTTAGAGCTAGTAAACTTGCTTATAAGGTCCAGCGAAGAGTGCGAAATTGCGATGTCTCATAGCCCTAAGGTGCTGCTTTGTCGCCGCTATATAGTCCGTCGCTACTGTATAGTCTATCGCTGCGATGTATACTGTCGCCGCTATATATACTGTCGCTCTAGCATTGTGTTACTATCGTACATTGTCTCGTCGTAGTATCGCAGTGTCGTAGGCAGAATAGTAAGCACGTAATAGTAGTTTTTTGATTTCTGCCAATCAGCGGCTTAATACGTAATCTATCTTTCTTTTCTACTAATTAGAGCCCGCTTCGCAATTTGTTAGAGAGCGCCCTTTTGACAATTGAACCCTCGCCTAGTAAACCTAAGGCAGAATTCTGACTATTATTTCGCACTCGCTCCAGACACCTTCTACAACTCTCGTCGCAAGCTCCTCGAGTTGTTCCAGGTGCCTTCCGCTTCGCTGGAATTAAAGACGTAAAGAATTAGGGAGGTGAAGTGGTTAGTCTGATTTCTCTTAATATATATAGTAGGACTGTCACTTGTAGAGCCTGTGCTGCAGGGTTTTGGGAAACGGTTATATGTAAAGTGGAAGTGCGTGCGGTGGGAGAGGAGGTCGGCTGACTTTCCAATGTACATTTCGATTTCGATTTTCTGGTATCAAGACACGGATATCAAACAAAGACAGTACGCTATCTACGCCGCTCCAGTGCTGTTCGATGTCTCATGCTGCTGATGTATCTCTATTGTGTCTCCATAGAGTCCAAGATGGCGCGAGTAAACTGGTGTGTAGTGGCGCTGCCTCCCATATCTGGTGTCCGAACCTTGCCGGCTGCAATGACATCGTATACAGCCTTGCTAATTCTGTTCGCGTGGTCGTCGAGGCCAAGATGTCTCAACATCATAGATCCAGAAAGAATAAGTGCAGTTGGGTTGGCCTGGTCCTTGCCCTGGATATCGAGACCGACGTGACGGCAGCCTGGCTCAAACACGGCGACTTCACGTCCCATGTTGCATCCTGGTACAATCCCTGGACCACCGACTAGACCTGCGCCAATGTTGGAGATGATGGATCCGTAAAGGTTGGGCATGACCATGACATCGAATTGCTGTGGCTTGGAGACGCACTGCATGGATGCGTTGTCGACAATCATGTCATTGGTCTCGATGGTTGGGTATTCCTCGCCGACCTTGCGCACTGTGTTGCGGAAGAGACCGTCTGCGAGCTTCATGATGTTGGCCTTGTGGATGCAGGTCACCTTGCGGCGGTTGTTGGCAAGGGCAAAGGAGAAAGCGAACTTGGCGATGCGCTCGGACTTGGCGCGGGTAATGATCTTGAGCGACTCAACGACACCATTGACCGACTGGTGCTCGAGACCAGAGTATTCGCCCTCAGTGTTCTCACGGATAATGCAAAGGTCGACGTTCTTGTGTCGTGTCTCGTAGCCGGGGATGTTCTTGATGAGGACGATGGAGGCGTAAATGTCGAGCTCTTGTCGGAGAGCGACGTTGAAGGATTGATGACCGGATCGGCTCACAGGTGTGTGCAGGATGCCCTTGAGACCAAGCTTGTTGCGCTTGAGAGATGCGAGAGATTCGCGGAAGAGCTCTTCGGAGTGCTTGCCGCCAGTCTCCATACCGGAAACATCGACCTGCTCCCACTCGACGGGCACATTGTCGGCCTTGAAGATCGCCTTGACCGACTCGGAGACCTCAGCACCAATACCATCACCTGGCAGTTTCTTTCAGCATGTGCTCCGCGTTGTCAGATGCTCGCTTTTGGCTTGTGCTGGCGCATACCGGGAATCAAGGTGACGGTGTATTTGCCGCCGAACTTGGTTGGCTTGAAGATGTCCGAAGATACGGTTGCGTATGCTGTTGCCAGTCATCAGAGGCACATTCCTCGTGTCGGGATTGGCATTGGCATTGGCATTGTGCTTCACGTACATCGTGCGGCGATCGACGGGCATGGTGCGGCGGAGAAGGCATTGCTGCGGAGGGCCTGGCGGGAGGGAATTGTCAGCGCGACGGCTCACACACGTCGGAAGTGAAGGATGCAGGATGCATACCTGGACGGCGCGTCTGGAGAACATGTCGGCGGCGGATGGGGTGGTATAGGCTCAGGCTCGGACTGTGCAGCGCAATGCGAAACGAAAGCTCGTTGCTGTGCTTTTGGCCGAGCTCGCAGCCGTTCCCGATTCCGCGCAGCAGGGACCAGTTGCAGCGCCAAGAAACAAGAAAAAAGCTTGAAAACTTCACTCACCTCCACCACAGCACATCATCCAGAGCATCATCGGGGGCGGTGTCGATGGGCCAGACTGCCTCACATGCAGGCTACGCGAGGCCGATATGCGTGGCAAGTACGTGCCGTACCCCCCCCCCCCCCCCCCATCTTCCAGCAACTGGAAATCCGTCAGCATGGAGCTGACGCTGAGCAGCAACATCTCACCCTCGACAGTGTGACTAGGCTGGCGACATAACTTAGGTGTAGCTGATCCGGAGTGGCTGCCACGCGACCTGTGTTCGTGCCGACTTTCACTCACACTCGACGCTAACCACATTCGGGTTTGAATAGCACTCACCATCCAGCATCCTATTGACACCCACTTTCGGGGAGCTTTCCTTCAGCCTTGCCACGCGGCGCACATCCAACCAAAGCGATGTGGATATTCATCTAAGACTCTTGTGACTCCACACAATGGATGGAGCCAGGCTTCGATAAGCACTCCGACCAAGCTGCTGGTAATGGCAAGAGACGGGAAGCAGCCTTTACATCAAGGACTCGCGAACATCTGCGCTGGCGAGAAGTCAGCCTCGTCAGCCTTCTAGAATGAGATTCACTTGCTCGAGCCATGCGCTTCAATTCTGTCTTCACCCACCGATACCACTATGCCACCTCCACCATGTCAGCCTGGGCCGAGACGTCTCATTGTCGCTCTCCTTATTCTCATCAAAAGACTTCCTTATTGACGGCCGGCCCTTTACTGGTCTATCATCTGGCGCAGATCAAGGCCAGCCGTGGAGGTGAAGCTTTCCTTTATTGAACCTCGCTATTGAGGAACACATCGAGACGTCCATTGCCACCACCAAGCTCTCCACCTCCGTCTATATATGTCTTCCCAACCATACCGTTTGCAGAACCTTTTCCTACTCACCCCCAAAGTCATTCTTTACCCAATTCGATTACGAATACACGACAAGGTCATAAGACTCCCGTCTTCCCAGACCATACTACTACCCTACACCCTACCAAAAACAACAACAAAACAAACTTCAACAACATGAAGTTCGAAATCGCTGCCCTCCTCTTGGCCGCTGGACCTCTGGTCCAAGCCATCGCCGTTGCCGAGCCAATGGCAAACGCTGAGCCAAAGAAGAGAATCGGAGCCTGGACTTTCTGCGGTGTCCCAGGTGCCGCCTGCAAGCGTGACGCCGATGCTGATGCCAAGAAGCGCATCGGAGCATGGACCTTCTGCGGTGTCCCAGGTGCTGCCTGCCACCGTCTGAAGCGATCCGCCGATGCCATCGCCGACGCTTTCGCCGACCCAGAGGCCAAGAAGCGCATCGGAGCCTGGACCTTCTGCGGTGTCCCAGGCGCTGCCTGCCACAAGGCCCGCCGTGGTCTCCTCGAGACCGGTGATGTCGCTGAGCGCGCCGTCGCTGACCTTGAGGCCCGTGACGCCGACGCCAAGAAGAAGAAGCGCATCGGAGCCTGGACCTTCTGCGGTGTCCCAGGCGCCGCCTGCAAGCGTGACGCTGAGGCCGAAGCCAAGAAGAAGCGCATCGGAGCCTGGACCTTCTGCGGTGTCCCCGGCGCCGCCTGCAAGCGTGAGGCCGAGGCCGAGGCCAAGAAGAAGAGAATCGGAGCCTGGACCTTCTGCGGTGTCCCCGGCGCCGCCTGCAAGCGTGACGTCGACTCCTCCAACATCGAGAACATCGTCCGCTCCATCAACGAATACGACCCAAGCCACTTCAAGCGCGAATGTTTCTCTGCGGGCGGTGAGTGCGCCGCTCTCGTCAAGGCCCACCGAGCTTTCCACGCCATCAAGCGTGAGTCTGAGCTTCTCTCTTCCCAGCCTTTGAGCCGCCGACAGGAGGAACTCGACGAGGATGATGACGAGGAGGTCCATGCTTTCGTCGACCTTGCTGAGCGTGGCGTCATTGATTCTGAGGTCGTCAAGCGATCTGAGGAGGCTTGCCACGAGACTGATGGTGACTGCACCATTGCTGCTGCTTCCCTCTACAGCATTGAGAACGCCCTTAACGAGGCTATCAATGCTCTTGACGAGGAGTAAGCGTGTCGCTGTCGTCTTTCGACAATTCATGATCAGTCCTGCTTGCTCGCTTGCTGATCGAACCCTTGCTTGAGGGTGTTTCTTTTTTTTCGCCCCATCATTGATGATGGGATGTATTTTATTGATTCATGAGAAAACATTTTGTATATACAACGCTCGGTCGGAATAGGGAATCGAGCGAGTCGGCATGAAAACTTTGCCTGACTGCAAAAAACCAACTCACAATTTCTTTTTTGTATACATGGTACATGCAGCGGAATATAGATGAGCTTGAATCCAAAAGCGGCTTCTGTTCTGAATATTACTGTCTTCTCTCTCTCTCTCTCTGCTGATTCCTCAGCAATCGTCTCCCATCGTTGGTGGTGTTGTCTCGCTCGCTGAGATCCTCGCTGTCGGAGATGTCTTCTCGCCAGGCCGCGAGCGGAACCCCGATACTGCTGCCGTGACTTTGCCTCTTTCTCAAGACCGATTTCCCCATCCAGCGTACGTTTCGCGGCTCGCCCATCTAGGATTACCAAAAGCCCGCAGTCTGTAATCCGTCTATTCGAAATGTACGTGCACTTTGCCACCCGAGATCCAGAGTTCTGTCGTTGCGTGTCTCCAAAAAACCCATGCTTCAGAATTCCAAACCCCTCCATTCTCCATACCAAATTCATCACCGTGCTTCTCTAGGTAGCCTGATTCCCCCAACATCTATAAGTACCTATTACCGGCAAATAAATCCTCGGCGCATCCGTTTAATGCACTTCTAAAAATCCCCCATATTATTATACCTCCTATCCCACAAAACCGAGCCCCCCCCCCCCACCTTCCTTCCCCTTCACTCATCTCACTCCCCATTACAACATCCACCACCATCAAAGAAACTCTTTTTTTCCACGACAAAGGCATCGCGACTCCCACCCCTGCGCTTGAATTCAACCTCCTCATCGCAGGCCGATGACCACTCGGCACAAGATCGCTTACAGTAGTTAGTAGAAGGTGAGGGATTGCACGGCGATGATGAGAGAGCAGGGTATGCTTGGCGCCTTTTGAGGATTTTTGGACGAGGGGAGGTCATGGTTGCGCGATGATGAGGTCGGGATAAGCTGGTCGTTATTGTAGTCGACTAGATATTTTTTCAGCATGTGATTCGGCGTGATGTTGCAGAGTTGTGGCGATCGGGAAATTCAATTCGCTTCCATGTTGACTTGACACTCTCACGACATGGAGAGCTGTCCGGAATGATATGGATCTTGCAATAATTCTCACTCGACAGAACTTTGATGGTCAGGGAAGGGAAGCCGGCTTCTCACGTCTGCGTCGACAAGCGGAGTGGCTTAACTTCGATATTTTGGGCGAATCGAAAGATCTATATTGCAACGACCATGGGTATTGATGTCGCGATTTCTTACGCAGAGTTCGTTCAATGTGGTGTCAATCTCAACCTCGCAACGATTACTCTGCATAACTTCGATTGACGGTCTTACCGGCACGCTATCATCATTCGCTCCTCCAGCCTGCCTTGTTGACTACGCAGAACATCACACTTCATCCTCTGTCGGCTCTCGAAGCGAACTACTGGTGAAGGTCATTGTCCAGCAAGCACGACCACAGTCAAGAAGTGCTGCAAGCTCACGGAATTCGAAAATCTTGCCCTGCCCACCACACACGCTCGGCAGATCATGCATAGCTCCGGTCTATCGTGTTCTACACTCTTGGCCATGATCACCATGGTCCCCAAGTTCCCCATGCAACATCTCTTGATTGGAAAATGGCAGAGGGATTCAGAGTGCAGAATGTAGAGCTACGATGTGGAAATCAGAGCGATGGGACCGGGAAACAAAGCTTCTCGCCAGACGGTACCATGCAGTGGAGACTTGTGAGGGTATGGTGATCTGGCTTCATGTCCCAGATGATTGAAAAAGCGTCCGAGTCGCATTGCCCCACTAGCCAACGGGGTTTGAAATTCGCATCGCAGAAGCCTCGATCTCATGACTTCGCCTTACTCTTATTCTGCCTCTTCCAAATCATGATATAACTCTCTTTCGTCGCAAGAAGATCCGCGTTCACCTTCTCCACGAACAAATCCTGCATTTCCCACCATTGATTACTATCACTCCCTTCCTTGACTTGCACTTTCCAGACTTTCCTCTCCGCTTCACCTTCTACCGAATCGTCTCGAACTTTGACGCCTTCGTACGTGATGTTCGCGACTAATTCGTAGACGATAGGTTCGCCGATCGGATGGATTTTGGGGTCGGGTTCCACGTAAGGCGATACGTCTAGTGTTCTCGGGTTGAAAGTCACGATCGTTGGGTTCCGTTGTGAGCCGAGGAATTTATTCGGTTGGAAACGTTTTACATGCATGATGAGGAATGGTGGGAGAGGATGAAGGAGTCGGTATCGCATTCGGGTATTCATGCGTTCTTGTGCTGTGATGCCGTTGTACTTTTGTAGGACGGTGGTGAGGGAGACTTGAGGGATGATGTTCTTTTCCACATCGTCTTGGAAGAGCGGGGCGGGTGGGAGGTCGAGGGTGAGGATCATGAAAGGAGATTGTTGGGATTTTATTGCTGTGTCTTCGAAACGTAGACGGTCACCTGCGTCGGCTCGGGCGGTGATTTCTTGGGATTCGACGCGTAGGGAGCCTTGGAAGATTTTTTGGATCAGGGAGCTTTTGGGTTTGGTTTTGCTTCCTCCCAAAGCCAGGTGGAGGTTGTTGAGGAACCAGCTTAGGAAGTCGATTGGATCTGCTTGTTGTGTGAGGAGGAATTTTTTGCCGGAGCGGAGGGAGACTTCTTGGATGAGTTCGTGGGGTGAGACGTGTGATTTGAAGGCTTTGGGATTCCAGATTTTGCGAACCATGATGCTGAAGCGTTTTATGAGTTCAGATTTCAAGGAAAGGTCTTCGAGCATGAGGAAGTTGCGTAGCGGGACCACGTGCGATAATGCTTGGACGACTACATTGAGGTAGTCGTTTGCTTTGATGTTGTTCAGGCCGACGAAGCCTGGGATGTATTTTCTTCCCAACAAATCCCATTGTGGTTTTGGCTCTTTGTCGAGCGTCTTGACCTCTTCTGGTGTGAATGTTGGATCGACGACGAATTTGATGTCGTCCAAGCTCTTGTTCTTCACCTCGTACCCTTCCGGCAGCACGTAGACTTTCTTCGTCTGCATGTTGACATAGACATGATGACCGTCCTCCAATGCATGAAAATATGCTGGCGTCTTTGCGCCACGCCCTGTGAAGTATTTGCCGCATACCAGACACGCGTACACGTTGATGTTTGACAGGGTTATGGAGCATAGCTTTTCGAAGTCGAAGTCTAGGCGGGTCCTCGAAATTGTGTCCAGATACAAATCAGAGTAGCCAAGCGCGGGCGCATTTTGTCTTGAGGGCGCATCGTCCGCGCCGTCATCATCGCCTTCCTCCTCGCTCACATCCTCAGCATTGTGGTCGCCATTATCCCCATTGGCGCGGCCGTTGCTCAATGCGGGCGCAGGCGGAGGTGGAGGTGGAGGTGGTGGCAGGTCCTCGTCGGCGACATGCTGCACGCACGCTCTCTTCGATGCAGGCGAGTCTGTCGTACTGTTCTCCAGTGGTGTCTCTGCCGGTCGCTTAGCCATGATGGGATTTGTTTCCTGCATGCTGTCGCGGTCGCGGTCGCGGTGCGGTCGCATGCAGGGCTCGGTAGTGTCGGCGGAGCTTGGACTTGGCGCGCGAGTCATGTTTCAATGTTTGGCGGATATTCTAGAACTACTGCATCGACTTTCCAAAGTCACATCGCCTGCACTCCCGATGGCCAGCACAGCGTGGCGGGCGAGGCTACGGAAAGCCCGTCCGCTCGTCTCTTGCACCTCGAGATTCGGAAAGCTGCAATGTACTTGGCTCGTGCAGTTCTGGACCGCATCTGGCGCCAGGCAGACCTTTGGCGGCCCCTGTTGCTGTATGTACGATCACGACGCCAGCGTCGGCATGGCCTACCATGCAGTTGCTGAAGGCCTGGAGGATATCCTGATCCGATGGCTATCTTTAAACAGACGCAAGATGAACCTATACATCCCTTCGTCTACATGTCGACAAAGCCTTCCTGTGCAACGCTCGACACTCAGCTCTCTGCAAACGACTACTGGCGAACTGACCCACGGTTATATGATAAATATCTTGCCTTCCGTCTCAACTGGCGATCGAAGAAAACCTCGAAGCTGCCCCCCATAGGGTACGACTTCGTTCGGGCATCGCTACTTTTGGACCATCCTCGGAACCCCAACCCCGATCGAGCCTACGACTTCTTCCAACACTGCTGCAGTGGCGGAACTTCTGGCAGCATAAACGTAGCCATGCAACACGTCAGAGTGCACCGCAATCGCCTTGAACAAACACTCAAGCGTACAAGCTTGCTTCTCGGTATGGCGGGCCGAAACGAAGACGCTGCTTGGATCGATAAGATGGCTCCTGGCATGGTTGCTTGCAAGGCGCCGTTGAGTCTTGAGTCAAAGGACATGCTATTTCCTCCAGCCCCATGACCGTTCATGCAATCAAATTGGAGGCGTCACTCTGTGGGCGATATTTCTCGTCTGCTCAAGTTTGGAAACAGACTCTCTAGAACGTTTAGTTTAGCCTTCGGAACATCGTCGCTGGAGAAGCCTGCAACGCCTAGAGGATTTATAACCAAATCTGCGCTGATGCTGGATACAACGGCTAGTGACTAAGCTGCTCAATCTGAGCCATACCACATGCTATGTTCATAGCGTCAACACGAGCGCTAAGCTACGAGCCTTGTCGACTTGCCGCAGCTCGCAGTATCGCAATATTGGTCCGAGGCCTTTTGACTCATGGGATCATGGAGCTTTACTTGGCCAGGCAGGTAGCAACACCACCCAGCCTTGAAATACCATACTTGCGGCGCACAACTTCGATCGCAGCTGCGTTGATCGACAAAACGCCCCCCTCTATGGTATGGACGACTGTTCCGTAGGCGACACGAGATTTTGGTGCCAATGAGGGCACGACATCTCTAGCATGGCCACTATATGTCATTGCCATTACCATTCTCGAGGGTGCTGAAGATTAATGTATAAGTACATCTAGCTAGAAGCCTCAAGACATCTTCTTCAGCACCTTCAATAGCAGCAGCTCCAGGATCGACGCCACCACCCCTTCGACCTTGTCAAAGAGAGATTTTCCATTTGGCAATGAAGTAATCTACCCAAAGCCTCCACATGTATTTTCAGCTGAACCGTGCACGTCGAAAATTGTCCAAGGTTGTGCCGCCGCCTCGAGGCTGGGCTTGTGAACGTGCATACTTCCTCTCTCAGACCCCTAAACGAACAGTAGTGATGATGGTGTTTTGATAATTAAGTATGACACTCATTAGAGACATCCAGTATGCACCACGATCAGATGCTTAAGAAAGGTTCCCTTGAAGAGCGTTTTCCGCTTCCAGCTGAAACGTCGCCCGCGGCGTCAAAACACGGAATCCTTCCAGCGCCTTGGTGCCTTCTGACATCTCCTATTCACGAACCATACAAAAAATATTTTCCTCTACTTTCACAGCCAACTGACCAGAACCTCCTCGCCCATCTCTCACATCCTGAAAGCCAGAACAGCAAAAATGGCACCTCACATTCAGACCTTAGCCCTCTTCCTCGCCACCGCCACCGCCCAACGCGCCCTCTACTCCATCGAAAACTCCTTCGGCACTTGCCTCGCCAACAGCTCCCTAACAGCAACCTATTTCGCCGCATCCCTAACCCCCGACAACAACACCTTAGCATACGACCTCCAAGCCACAAACACCTACTCCGGCAGCATCACAATTTCCTATATCATCGCCGTAAACTCCACAACATACTACAATCTCATAGAAGATCCTTGTTCTTCTGGAGAAGCGAGTTTCTGTCCGGCTTCTCCCGGCCAGATTGCTTTGAATTCGAATCAGAATGCCCCGGATCGTGTGCTCAGCAGGATTCCCGAGAGTGCGTATACGACACCGGATTTGGTGGCTTGGTTTAGGTATTATTTCAATGATTCGAGGACTGGAGAGGCGGTGGGGTGTTTGCAGACGAATTTGACGAATCTTGCGTCGGAGAAGGCTAATGGGACTTCTTCTACTTCTTCTTCTTCTTCTTCTTCGAATTCTACTGGGGGAGGGAATGAGACGAGTTCTGGAAGCGGAGGTATGAATAGTTCGGGGTCTGGAAGTGGTGATGGAAGTTCGGGGGCTGAGGGTGTTTCTTTGAATTGGACGCTATTTGTGTAAGTGATCACTTGGGCCGTTTGGGTGGAGTCTTGCTAATGATTCGATCCAGGTGTACACTTGTCGTGCTTGTTGCTTGCAGTTTCAGCTGAGTTGCTCATGATCTCTGTGGAAGAGCTTCGCTGTTGGCAACGCTTGGCAACGCAGGGCACGCGTCGAAATTCACCTGAAGTGCGTACTTCGCGTAAATTTGCTGGTTGTGGAATTAGAGGTCAAGCAATAATACTCATGACTTGCAGAGATCGACAGGATTGTAATAGTCCTGGCATTACGTGGAACCACGCGAGTGGTCAAGGTCAGGCGCAGACCATACCGGCCTACCATATCGATGCCGCAAGGTTTCCATCCCATGGAGTAAAGCACCTCTTCAGCCACATGAGTTCGAAAAAGTGGCGGATCTCTGTCCTTGTGCAGCAGTGTCGATTTCTCAATGAATTCCCGCAGCCCGATCGCATCTTCCTTCTTGTCCCCCTCTTTGAATGCAAAGGTGAACCAGTCACCATCGATGACATCCTGTCGGGAATACCAAACGTCGAACATATCGTCGCCTACACCGATATACTGTCTGTAATTCACCGCAAATCAGTCCCTGAAAGTACGCCCAGATGATAGTGCTTGTCGCTCTTGCTGCTCGAACTCAGCACACGCTTTCTCTACACTTCCCTCCAGCTCCTTGAGCATTATGTCTGTCGTGATCGCAAGACCGTTGACGGCATCGATCATCCGCTGCATAGTCAACGTAGTCTGCAAATAGGCCGGGGTCTTGTAGAAGATATCGTGATTCACCTCAACCTAGGCCTGCGAAGCTATTGTTCTAACCTGTATCTCGACTCTGCGAGACTCTTGATCTTCGTATTCGTATTTAGGAAACTCGTCTACTATTTACTAGGATCTATAGCTATAGTAGTACTAATACCGAATAGGCCCGTTAGGTCTCGGCTCTCTAAAAACACCTTTCGTATATTAGTCGATTTTGTAATTCTTCTCTATAAAGGGAATTCGATTATCGTTAATAACTATACCGAAGGGGTAATATATAGTAAAGTGCTACCGAAGCTCGTTCTCGCACCTTTTAATATTACTTAGATAGTATAGTCCTATTCGTAGTTATAAAGAATTAAGTTGCGTAAAGGTAAATAGGGATTATATTGCGACCGAGTATACGTAATAGATTAGTAATTAGGGCTAGCTTCCGAATACCGACAACTAATTACGAGTACTCTACCTAATTCTTCGCCTACGAGCCTAAAGATAAACTAGGCTAAAATAGCCTATAGAATATATTATATAGCTATTTGCCCTCTAAGGCTATAGTATACTATCTCCGCGATAATATAATAGTATAAAGGCACTAGGGCCCTTCTTAGCGCCTTAGATAAGGATCTCTACTACTCTTACTACTAGTCTCTTAGTCTAGGATAGTATATAATAAGGTATTATTATCGCGATCTAGGCCCTAAAGTTAAATCCTAAATTGCGATAAAAGCCTTAGCGTTTGCTCTCGAGAGTAGGATAGCGATAGTATAGAGTATTAATATTCTCCTATATACTTAGAGATCGTTCTGTAGTCTAGGTACTCGAATCTCGTCTATTATCGAGTATCTCGGATACTATTATTAGCCTTACTATACCTTCGAGTAGCGGAAGTTTTTAGATTTAGCTAGATTCTATATATAACTAGCCTTAGTATATAGAAGATAGAGCCTATAGTATCTAAATTAGCGATAGCCTTATATAAGATTAATTCTTCTTTTTATTAAAGCGTAGGACCCTTTTTCTAGGTTTAGCTATATTTAGTATAGTATTTATTCTATATATTACTATATTTTAAAACCCCGTAGGTAATTATATAGAAGCCGCCTAGTTTTACTTTAGGCGCTTCGCTATAGGCTTAGTAGGGACCGCTAACTAGATATATCCTAGTATAGAAGATAATATAAAAATAGAATAGATAGAAATAGAAGATAGAAGATAGAAGGTATATAGGCCTATAAAGTAGGGCGCCTAAATAGAGGTAGACGGCCTCCTAGATTAGTATACTTTAGGACTAACTAATCCGCCTTTCGCTCTAGTATCTAGAATTATAGATATTACTAGTATTCTTAGTATATAGTATAATAGATCTTAATAGTACTTTTAAAGCTATTCTTATAAAGATTATATAGTCTTAACTAAGCGACTTTACTTGTCTCTATAGAGTAGTAAAGGCTATTCTTACTATAAGCTCGGTCGGTAAGATATTAACGATAGTCTTAGAAGCCGAACAATCTCGCACAACACGCCTTGCTAGTGGTAGATCCGTGACCGTGAAAGGCCAACAAGAACAAACCTCATGATTCTGTCGATGTTAACTTACAACATACTCCTATACCTCCCACCCTCACTCTCAAGCTCAACACCCAAAAACTCCATTACCTGACCAATATGGTCCACCCCCCAAAACCCTTCCTTCTGCCCCTTCTCATTCTCCGCCACAAACCAAGGCAAACCAAAACACCCCTCTTTCAAAGCCTCATCAGTGTTCTCTCTGAGTGCTTTCTTCGCCTCATCACCCTTCATACCCTTCAAAATCTCCTGAACCTCACTCTTCCCAAACTTGGTACCCAAAGCCTCCTCAATCGTACCCATATCATTGAACTTCTTGCTCTTGACCCAGAAAGCTTCGTATAGCGCGTCGATGCCTTTGATCACGTCGTCCTGGCTTTTGTTGTAAAGGTAGCAGAGAGCTCGCTGGGCGTTGACGGTGGGTTGAGGGAAAGGCTCGGGCATGGAGTCTGACATGGGGACCCCGAAGGTTTTGGCCCAACGAACTCGTTCTTTACCAATCCATTTGTCTTTGTTTTTGATGTTGATGGGTGGGGTGTTGCCTGTGGATTGCATTATGCCGCCAAGGAGGATGGGGACATATTTGATTTGGATGGAGGAGAAGGCGCGGGAGTTCTGGATGTTGCTCTATTAGCCATTTTTGCGACCATTTCGTCTCGTAGAGTGATGTTCGTCTCGTAAATGAAAGGGTACAAGATGTAACAGGTACTTCTGGCGCAATGTTGCAATGTTTACGGGACACACCACAGGGGGGAACGTACCCTGGTCAACCAATACGCAATGTAAGCGAATGGCGACACGATGTCCACGTACAACGTGATTGATTTGCCCATAGTTGCGAATTATTACTTCCTCTTGACTTTTTTACCTCTGAAAATTACCCAGACGTCTATGGGCTCATGAAAGCATTTGTAGTAGTGAAGTTGGAAGAGCTGATATGTCATCGTATCCCGGACCTCGGCATTCGGCCTTAGGCGGAGATAGCATGTGTGACAGTATGATAATCGTCACCACAGCAATTTTCGCTGCTGTTCATGTTAAGACTGTCTACAAAATCAGCCAAATGGGTATCATAATGCTTCGCTTCCAAAAAAAGCTTCTCAAGACTGATCAAAACCTCAACTTCTTCCCACCATTGATCTCGTTCGACATCCGGTACTCAACCTTCACACCCTGCGACCTCGCCCAGTCAACAGCATCTCTGCCGAGATAATGACAATCATTCAAGATGAGCTCCTTAACGTGACCAAGACATACTATGTCTTTCACGCCAGCGCCTGTAATCTTGGTACCACTGACATTGAGCGAACGAAGCTGCTTGAAATCCTTCACGATATAGTAGATTCTCGCATCATCCAGAGGGATGCAGTCGGTCATAGCCAAGGACTCGAGATCCTTGGTGCGTTCGGTAAATAATGAGTATCCTGCCGCCGGATCGATCTCCGGGTTTCTTAGCGACAGAACTCGTAGCTTTGATTGTGCAACATTCATCTCGGGCGTATCAGGTTGAGCCGAAAGCTGGCCAAATATGTATGGAAGACCTGTCGATGGGACACCCAGATGGAACTCTTCGAGTCGAGGAAGATCTGATAGACGCAGCTGGTTCGCAGAGTCTGGAGCAATCAAGCTGTCGGGCCAGAACCCACTTCGATGATTGTGATCAGTGGAGATGCGCAGCACACGCACCGATGGTGGAAGGAGCAGCTGTCTAGCCGCGGACCATCCGATATGGATCTCGACATGCTGAAGGTTGGCACTTTCTCGCAGATCGAAGAAAAGAGAAATCGATCCGTGGGCCTGAGGTTCGGGATCTGCACTCCAGAGCTTGAGATGTTCTAGAAGTGGCATTTGGCTGATAAATTCCTTGAAGCTCAAGCTTGGTCGGTGCAACAACATGCCGGTCGTAATGTCGAGAGATCGCATCATGGGCAAGTGGATCGGGGTCCAGCGGGAGAAGTCAAATACCTTCGTGTAGTGGCACTGCAAGACTTCTAATGTGTTCTTGCACTGTGTTACTGCGGCCCTTAAAGTACCATCTGATATATCCGTACCCTTCAGGATGCGCAGCTCTTTCAGCTTCGAAGCTCTTGCTAGATCTTCGACAAGATTGTGACTCTGGAGCCCGGTCTCCATCAAGGTCAGTCTTTCCAGTGGGCAATTCTTCGCCAGTGCTGTTAGAACTTTATCGAAGTCGAAGTGCCTGTTGAGCGTTGCGGCTGTCACTTTGCTCTTGCCTGTGTTGATCGCAGTGCTGATGAAGCGTGCCGGAACTCTCGCACGCGCCTTGCTAAAGTCAAGATGTTGCCACAGTGTCGGCTCTGACCGAATAAAACTCTGCCATCCTTTGCTAACGCGACATATCGCGATCCGCTGCCTGAAGTTGAGGTACTCGAGGACTGCCGTCGCCAGTTCTCGCGGCAAGACTGTAAGCGGATCGACACTGTTTTTTGGTGCAAGCTGACCCTGCAGCTCATCGTGCATCTTCTTCAACTGTTCGTAGCCTTGTCCAACGTGTCGCACCTTCTTCAAGCCATGCGCGTAGATCTCCAAGGCCACTTTCGGTTTCTGCATCTTTACGAGCACTCTGCCAGCGCGCAAGTATCCAGTCGGATCTTCACCTCCCGTCTGTATCGCTTTCTTTGCATCTTGGAGCGCGGACTGGAAGTTGAGCAGTTTCTCGTGCGTCGAGGCGCGATAGTCGTAGAGCTGTACAGTCTGTTGTCTGCCAAGTGCCCGATCGAAGTATTGGAGTGCTTTCGAGTAGTGGCCATCCTTGTATGCTCGCCGGCCTTGCGTCTGGAGGTCGGTGACGGACATTTTATAGGCACAACCAGGCGATGGGAATAATGTTGTAAGAAGTAGAACGCGTGAAGCTAGGAAGACGTGTAGTGCATCGCGAGGGTGGGGCTCTATTAAATGGCTTAAGCAAACATAAATCAATTCTTGATTGACCACCCCCGCCTACCAACATTCACTTACTTACCCGCTAACTATCCTATCTTTCTTTCTTGTCTTCGACACTATATGATCTTATCTGCGACTTCATTCACACAATCTGAGTGAATCTTCCAGTGATTTGTAAATCCACCTATAGTCAGGATCCTCTGTATCTTGAATATCTACTCAAGATTAAGAAAACCGGAAAGATTTTAAACAGCCTCGATCCTACACCATTGAATCTTCCAACACATCCACAACTAATTCGACCTGATCATCAACCACACCCCATGGCCCATATCCGCCTCTACCACCCCACAGACCTTCCCTCCTGCATTCAAATCTTCCAAGAAACCGCCGACTCATCTCTCAACACCCCCAACCTCTTAACTCTCGGCTCCTACCTCTGGTGCCGCCCCTACCTCACACTCTCCCCCCCAAAAAGTTTCGTGCTAGACAGCGGATCCGGAAAAGCAGTAGGCTACTGTATCGCAACATCGAACACCCGATCCTTTGCCCGAAATTGGAGAAAAGAATACCTGGCCTCCCTGACATCCTCCAAAGACGAACATGATCCAATCATCTTCTCCTCTCCCTCAGAAGTCGAAGGTCGAGAATCTGAGCTCCTGAATTCTCTTTGGAAGGATATTGATGAAGGGATGAATTCTTCGATTCCGGGGTTGTGGGAGGCGTTTCCGGGACATTTGCATATTGATATTTTGCCTGAGTTTCAAGGACAGGGGTGGGGTGGGAAGATAATTGAGAAGTTGTTGGGGACTTTGAAGGAGGAAGGGTGTGTTGGAGTGCATATGGGTGTTGTGGCGAGCAATCATAGGGCGTTGGGGTTTTATGAGAGGCTGGGATTCGAGAGGTGTAAAGATGTTAGTGAGAGCGGAGAGGTTGGGAGGAAAGGTGGTGCTGTGATTATGGTGAAAGAGCTCTGAATGAATTGATTGAACCCAGTCGATCTCACTGCTCCAAGTGTCAAAGATGAAGGATACCTAATGCATGACTACATGCTTGGAGTCCCGGTGCGCATGCCATGCACGAAATCTGCAAATTCGGCTTCATGCATGTTCCTGCTCTCTGCTATCTGCAACGGGCCACGTCCATAAACATCAACATTCTCTATGTCGATATCGGCCCGTTGCAGTAAGAGCTTTTACGTATGGGCGATAACACTGCGAAAGATGAACAACGTCTGTGCACGACGCCAACGACACAACAATACGCCGAACACGGACATTCGATCTTGCATATCAGTTCCGCTCAGTTGCGATTCTGCTTTTAGAGATACACCCCTTCCACAAGTGAGCGCCAAATCGGTCTACCACATCCTATCGCCGAACCGAGCATTCTCGTCTTCTTCCCCTCTGCACCGAAGCTGCCGATGCCTCCTCCACGAGACGAGCGTCTAGAGAGCTATGCAAACGCCAACGAGGATGGATCCCAGGTTTTTTATATTGAAGTGCTAGAGCTGAGGAAGGAGTCGGTTACTGTATAGTAGTGCAAGATGCAAGCCGTATGGCAGTGGTATAAAATCTGAAGAGCATTTCTTCGATACCCCTGGGGAGCAAAGAAGCATGGTCTAAAGGCGCCTTGGAGATGGGAAGCACGGACATTAGCAAACCCGTAAAGCTCTCCGACCATAGCTGTTGATTGTTGATTGTTATAATTACCTAATTACTCACAATTACTGTGATTGTAGATGTGATTATTATATATATAATTATATGATTATAATTACAATCAGTCGGTGTTTCTTAGGCAATCGAAGGCGATACCGCGGCGCACAAGTATCCCTCAATTTCGTCGTATTTCTACCTCTTCCTTATACAAAATCGTATTAAGAATGGGTTAGAAGCGCGTAGAAGTAATCGAGGTAGGTTAATAGCGAATACTGTCTATTGCTATAGCTAATCGTATAGCTGTCGGACAGCGAGTTAGAATCGGAGGTAGAGGTTCTTATCGACACCTCACTATCGCTACTACCGCTGCCGCCGCTATAGACTCAGACTCAGCCTGTCGACAAGAAGCCTAGCAATGAGAAGTCTATCGCCAACAGTATATCTAGCGCTTCTAAGGAAGAAGAAGAAGAAGAAGAAGAACCGGTTACTAAGAGGCTTCGTAAGAACCCTAAGAAGACGGCAAAAGGTTAGGATTGGCTCAATTAATAGCATAAGGAAATAGAGGCTCAGCAGGCTGTTATAGAAAGGTTGTTATAAGAGTCTCGCCGTATACTAAAGGAATACGAAGGTATAGAACACCGACTAATTGCGAAGAATGCCGAGCTCGACGTCTTTGCTAAGAAGTAGGAGGCTTTCGAGGATTACATCCGCAAGAAGGGCAACTATATAGCCGTATATCTAGGGGACTGTCGCTATAAGGTGTGTAGCGAGCGTATACTAAGGATAGAAGAGAGGGCGAAGCACTTCAGGTTTCTTAACCCCTACGCCTACGACCCTTATCTGCTATATATAGGCGAGGAGTGTAAATTAAAGGTCGAGCTCGCTATACAGCGTGCTCGTAACGCCTTGTATATCGAGGCTGCCGTAAAGGAGTGTGTTAGTAGTATTGTAAAGGATTAGAATATAGAATAGTAGGAGTTGTTAGTATTCTAGTTGCTTACGCGCCTACCTATTCCTATCAATTACATTATTTAGGGTCTTTAAAGCCTAATAGGAACCTCCGGAGTCGACTAACCGAGCGGCCTCGGCTCGCGCCTTAAACCTTAGTAAGCCCTATCAAACTCAAATTTTCCAAACCTCTATCCTTTTATAACTTCTACTATTTCTATACTATAGTAGAGACACGCAAAAACCCCAAGCCTTTACAACGGCTCTTAGAAAACTTCCGTAAGGGCTAAGAAATACAACGGGAAACGCAGGATAGGTAACGGATACTATTCACCTAAGATTCGAGCGATCTAAGCGACCTCGAAGACAGCGAAGCCGGAGAGGTGCCAAATCCTATACTACTGCTACCAAATCAACCTATACAACCTCCTTAGCCAACACCTAACCTATTATTCCTTCCTATACAGTCCTCCTCGTCCTTAGCAACACCTACGCAACCGACACCGATACCTACACTATCTAAGAAGCGAAAGAGAGCTAGCAATAGGCGTAATCCGGAGTTGTAGTCTCATTTAAGACCTCTAAAGAATAGCGAGCCTAAGAGGGTTAAGAACAGCCGGCACCGAGTATTCTACTATAGACACTATAGTAACAACGATATAGAGCGCTTTTAGTCTCAATCTAGCAACGCCGCCGAGCACCTATTCTATAAGCATCAAATTATCGTTAGTCGTATAAAAGAGAAGAATAATAGCAAGAAACAGAGCGTAATCGACTTCTTAGCTACTATTAGGAAGAACGCAGATATTGAGGCATAGAAGACCGTTAATATACTAAAGAACGCAGCGGATAAGAAGACCTTCAGATACGCTCTTGCTCGCTTTGTTACAGCACTTAGTGTCTTACATAGTGCTATTGTAACGAAGGAGTTTAATGACCTAATACTAGCAGTCAACCTACAAGCTGAATACGTACTTCTACGCTTATATACGACCCTCTTTAGCTATATTCTTTACAACTTCGAGTATTAGCGAGAGCGCGTTAAACAAGCCTTATTAGGCGCCTTAAGCTATATCTACGTCAGTACTGATACATAGAAGGCTTAGTATAGCAGGAAGCACTTCTAGGCTATCAATTGCTAGTATATTAATAATAAGGGCAAGTTGGTTTAAGTACTACTGGATTTTCTACCGCTTCTAGTCGGTTCTTATATAGGCGACTTCCTCGCGCTACTGCTTATTAATAGCTTCAAGGTCTTCAATATAATAGATAAGATCGGCTAGATAACGGCTAATAATGGCTCTAACAACAAGACCCTCTATACAGCCGTAGAGACCTTCATTCAAGTAGAAGGCTATAGCTACTTCCGGAAGCGCTATCTACGCTGTATTGGCTACATTATTAACCGGATAACGTAGGCATTTATATTCGCTAAGAATAAAGAGTCTGCCGAGAGCGAGGAGTTTAAACTGTCTATAATAGACTCGGATAGCGACACAGTGTCTATCTCGAAGTAGCTAGATATAGACGTAGACTCCTTTGCTAAGCAAGGTCTATTACAACGGCTATTCTCACTCGCTAAGCTTCTACGCTAGAACGACAACTTCAACGTATTTAAGGAGGTGTATAAGGCATAGCCTTCACTGCCTGCTACAACACCTAAGATTCTAGGTGAAACACGCTAGAATGGATGGCTCCTTATAATTGAGGAGGCACTGCAAACGAGGCCAATATTGAACAGCTTCTTCGATAGAATGCCGCACTTAAGGGACGCTTAGCTTACTACCGAAGAATGGTCTGTTCTACAGTATACTTATAACTTCCTTATGCTATTCAAAGAGGTCACTCTTAAGCTATAAGGCTACGCAGTAACACTAGATTAGTACTAAGAAGCTATAGAGTATATAAGAAGCTACCTTACTCGGTTAGCGGAAGACAACACTCGGCGTCAACCTCTTGTCCGTTCAATTTAGCTAGCAAGACAGCTATTCGATAAATACTATCGACTTAACCAACAGACCTGCGTCTATGCCGCGGCAGTCCTTCTATATCTAACTCGAAGGCTCGCGTAGTTGAATAAGTGCTTAGCAATTAATATAGACGCCGCCTTGTTAGAAGCTAGAGGTCTATAGTAAGACTATAAACAACGCTATAGACACAGCACTCCTCACTCAACTTCTAAGCGCAACCTCGAAGGTCTTACTAACCTAGAACGGTAGCAAATACAGTTACAAGCCGACCTTGTTGCTAGCGACGAGGATGCCTTCGAAGCCTTTATCTATAGACTACCGATTAGCCTTCTAATCGTCGGCAAAGACTATAACAATAGGCCTGTTTCTATAACACCAATTGAGTAGTAGATATAGCAACAATCGGCTAATCTAGCACTCGCACGGCTTGCTATCGACCTATTATCCGCATTCGCTATATCCGTAGAGTCCGAGCGGACCTTTAGCAAGAGCCGGCGTACGATATTATAGGAGCGGTTATCACTTAGTAGTAACACTATCCGGATGAGTGAGTGTTTAAAGAGTTGGCAGTCTATAGGCCTTGCTTACATACTATTAGAAGGGCTGTATTCACTGGAAGGCGCAGAGCACGAAGATAATGTATTGATAACTGCTAACAACGACTATAGTCTTTAAAATAGCACCCTTCTTAACCATAACGCTTACTACTATAGTGATTATATGATTATAGCGATTGTGATTGACGATTAATCACTCACCTGAGATTGTGATTGTGATAACGGTCAGGTGATTGTGATTAATCAACAATCAACAGCTATGTCTCCGACATATGCATGCTCTGACGAGTGATGTGGCAGTAGTTACGATAAGAATGCATTCATGGCAGGAAATGGCCACAGTACGGCTCGAGAAAACAACTTTCTTCTATTCAAATCACAGAACCATCACACACGAGTACTCAGGTACTAATCCTCGCCCAAGTCCTCCTCCCCACACTCCTCCTGCCCAACATCCAAAGCCTTCAATCCCACCACAGAATCAACTCGCTTCTCCCCATCCTCACAACCCTCCACCACGTCCCCATTCTCCTCCCCAAAAATTTCCCAACCCTCACCACTCTCCTGCCATCCAACCCTCGTAACCATAGCCCCAAACATCGGCACCCCGCCCTCCCACTCCCCAACAGGAATCCCCCCAGCAAACCTCGCAAACCCCCCATTCCAAGTAACCCACCCACCCTCGACCTCCTCAGCCGGGACATCAGCCGCAAACCATCCATACTCCCCACCAACCATCTTCTCCAGAATCACAATCGACGTTGTACTCCAATCCGCTCCCATCGCCTTCATCTTACCCCAATGATCAACTACACTCCAAAGCGGACTGTATTGGGAAACTTGACTCATGGTACGTTGATAGATTCTTAAAGCCCAGCTCTCACCACGTTGTGTGTATCCAAAGCGGTTGGCGAAGTACCGGTGAACTCGCCGATGGACTTGGATGTCGATGAGGAAGTCGAGGAAGGTGTACGTCATATCTGGCCATTTGCTTCGGAGGAAGAGGTTGAGATCTTGAGATGAGGTGTTGTGGCACCAATTTATGAGGGAGATGGTTAGGTGGATGTGCGTGTTGATTTCGTCGTCGTCGAGGGTGCCTGGGAAGGTGAATTTGATGGCGTGGAAGCGGGTTGATGATGAGGGGAGGATTTCTGCTGCGAGGCTGGGAAGATGCGTGGCGGAGAGATCGCGGAGGTCGCGGTATGTGCGGATTTTGTCGATGGCGTTGATGATTTGCAGTACATCCAGGGTTCCGACGCGAATGGTAGAATGTGTGCGTATGGAGTCGAGGTTGCGCTCCTGGAGAAGCATAGTCTTGACGATGTTTTGGTATGCACGAAGCGGGAGTCTATTGTCGCCAGGCTGTGATTCAATGGTGACGAAGTAGTTGCACTGGTCATTCATGAACACAGCGAACAATCCATAAAGCCCGGGCCTGGCGTTGATACTTCTGATACGCTTCAGGACGAATGCGATGACCCATTCCGGCGTATAATAGTCTCGGTGATCAGGGATCGTTTCTCTGCCATCTCGCTTCGCCTTCATCCACCATGCCGGTCGCTCAGTCGAAAATTTGGGAGATTGCAGCTCTGGGAAGTAGACTCTGTACTTGCTCCCATCGATACCGAGCATCGCGAAGCCGACATCAGGCTTCCATGGTCCCGGACGAGGTGTCACGGTCCAGGCTTTCGGGTCGCCAGCGTCACGAGAAAATCGTGGCCGATATGTGTGCTGTGCTTGGCATCCTGGAATAGAACAAGGACCGACATATGGCGCTGAGAACAGGCGTTCGAGGAGATAATGTGCTTGCCCTCCACACCTTCTACTTGATCTGGCTGTGATGAGCATGAACTGAATCGTGACTTGAAAGGTCATGTCGGCTTTGTCTCTGTAAGTGTAATGAAGAGACATAGTCCGGTTGCGAGTGCGATGTGGTGTGTTAAGGGGTGTTGGATCGGCAGCTAGATGGTGTTCGAGATATTTGTTGCGCCTGTTGTAATCTTTGGTTCGATCCTGATGTCGATGTCGAGTCGAAGTTTGATATATAGATGTCGAGGTTCTAATATAGGTTAGATCTGGACTTCAATGATTAGCATGTGAATAAAAGTGAAGGGCTCCAGAGTTTTAGGCAGCACGTCCGCATGTGATACATGCAGAACAATCATATGCAAGGCCTTTGAGTGAATAGCATGATCTCGAAGCATCTGCAAACGTGCTCAGTTCTGTTGCAACCAAAAGTTGGAAGCCTATTGTTTTCCAAAGGTTCGCAATTCAATTGTTACAATAGCAATTAAAGCCTCCCGGTTCAATTAGTGTCGTCACGGTATTTATTGTCCCGGTCCTGCTTCGAGATTGCGGTATTTGAAGACAGAAGTCCGGCGGGAGCATAGCTCAGCGGATTCATCAACTTTCCCATCGCGGAGGTCTACGCAGTTGCTGGTGGTGAAAATTCGCCAACTGCCATTCCTAAGGTCTCATCCTGATCATGGCTCTTCATGTCAGGCAGTTGGCGAGATCCCTGACGCTGTATCTAAATGTCTTGGAGTAGCACCAGTGATTCACTGTCCAGGTGGTGCAGAATAGATCCGGTTGACAAGAAATCGATCTGCTACAAGAGTGCATTAATTGGTGGCGTAGTTGCCATTGCTCGCTTATTGCTTGTACTGTAGAATCCTGGAAACATGAGTGCGACATGGACATGTGCGTCAGGAACTTGCCGCGGTTGGTGCATCAGTCCAGTGTAGGAGTGCGTGGCCGTGCCTCTTCACAAAATCTTTATGCGGTGATGTGAGGTTGAGGCGAATGGACGCTTCCTCCGCAGTGTCGATCCGGCTTCATTCGCTTTAGGTATGGCGTTTCTGGGGAATCAGTAAAGTTCGGCCAATTGACAGCTACCTACCTCTTCTGGTAGTAGAGCTTGTGCTATGGACAACGCTGTTGATGAGATCGACAATACTCCTCCTCGGCCTGAGCTGAGCCGCGCAGAAAGAGAAAGGTCCGATATGACGATGCCGATCAGTGTATGCCCGTAATAAAACCTGCGCGTGCCTCTTCGCGAAGACCTCTGCCAGCTGTGTTCTGCGTGAAGTGTTGTCTTGAAGAAACACACATTCACAATCATCCTTCCCACTTTTCAAGTCGAAATGTCGGTCTCGAACGAGAAGTCAGAGGACATCGAATATACAACCAATGGCCACGACCACGCCGCAACCATGATGCCAACGCTCGAGCAGGTCCAAACGCAGGGCAGCATTACCATCACGCCTGAGATGTTCGAGCGGATGTATCTTGCGCCCCAGAACAAAGTCTCAGGAGACCTCAGAAGAACACTAGGGTAAGAGTGTGCAGGACGTCAGCAGAAAACATGGTTCTGATGAAAGGGCAGAAATCCGACACCGATTGGTCTCGGCGGCTTTCTCATTGCGTACTGCCCGATCATCTTCTCACTGCTTGGGTGGAGAGGGTACACTGGCGGTGGGGCGGCGACAGTCGGAACATACTATTTCTCCGGTGGTCTCCTGGCCATCATAGCGATGATTCTGGAGTTCATCTTAGGAAATACGTTCCCAGCTGTCTTTTTCGGAGTTTACGGAGGGTACTTCTTGTCGTATGGCGCGACAATCACACCAGGCTTCGCCGCATATCTTGCGTACGCACCAGACCCGAGCGACCCATCTGGAGGACTCGAGGCACCAGCATTCTTGTCGGGTCTTGCTTTCTGGAACCTAATGATGGGAATTTTCACCATCTACTGCACAATCTGTGCGTTGAGAGTGAACCTGCTCTTCACACTGGCTTTCTTCTTCCTGGCTTTGACGTTCATCCTGGTGTCTGCCAGCTATTGGTGCGTCACAGAAGCCGGGAAGATGGTCGTCGGGCATAATTTGCAGCTGGCGAGTGCCGAACAGTTCTCAAGAGCATAGATCTCTCGCTAATCGAATTCAGGCTGGCGCTTCGTGCGGCTTTGTGGTCATGATCATCGGGTGGTATCTGCTGCTAGCCCTCATGCTCACCACCGTGGACTTTCCCTTCAACTTGCCAGTCTTCGATCTCAGCCACGTGGTGCCGAGCAATACCGAGCTCATGAAGAAGAGGAAGAATAAGAAGGACCTGGAGAAGAACAACTAGTGGAATCAAGATGCTCTCGGGATCTGATAATGTTGATCAGCGGGAAGAGTTAGCGCGGACCAATGCTATGAGCATGGGCTGACGGAGAGCATGCATGATCCGGTCCACCTTTTATTGCGCCGAAATCACGTGGGTTGCTGCAGGACGCAGTGGTTTCCCCGCCACAGAATTTGATACCATTCGAATAGAGTCCCTGGGGATGAAATAGGTGTGAGGTGACTAACGGAATGCGAAAGCGTCCTGAACGGCGTAGACCTCCCGCTACCGGCTTTGACTCCTGCTATCTGCTGCTGTGAGGCGTCACGTTACTTGCAGCTCGAGAAGCGCTGCTGGCTGCGCGACTAGGTGTTCCAGAGGCGTGTACGGCCCTACTCACTTAGGCGGTCAAGGTGAACGAGAAAGGGAATATTTCAACAAAATGCTCGTGTCACGCATAACACCATCTGCTGAGGTCATGATGAGGTGCGGCAAGATCACCGTATTGGTGAGGAACTGAGCTACAGCAGGCTGCGACACATATCCCTTGAAAAACTCGTAGGCGGACGCAGCTAGAGGGTTAGCGGCGGAAGCTGGGAAGTCTGATCGCGCTACCTACCTAAATTTGGTGTAGAGCCCGATCTTCCGCCTACGCCCTTGGCTATTAGAATCCAGGGTCGTCCGATCTCGGTTTCTATATTGTTATCGCTTAGAATACCTATGTTTATCGGTATAGACCGTTTTTCTAGCCGTTAAGGTATTATTAATCGCTATAGACATTGCGGACCTTCTTAACGACAAGGCATACGACTATAGTAATATAATATACGATGCTAAGAACCTATTTAAAGGCGACGTAGATCTAGACTACCTATTTCTAGAAGGCAAAGATAATATTATAATAGACGCTAAATTCTTATCTTCTCGTTAGGTCCGCGAGGCAATAGTAAAGTCGTCCTTCTAGCTATCTATAGAAGCCGAAGAAGAAGCAGTAGACGAGGTTATCGAGGCTCTAATTGTAGCTAATTAACTCGGTAAATAGACTCGTATCTATAATATATTAATATCTAAGCTAGATATTATCTAACCCGAGTCTTAGAGACCTAGCTTTTATAGTCTACTAGAAGGTACGGAATACGCGAGGCAGGTGCGGTTGCTAATTAAGGAGATATTCGAGGATATAGAGTATAACAATTTACGTATAGATCGCGACTCTTAGATACTATCGACTTGTAATAATAGAGGCTAGCGGTTGCTACTAAAGTAGTTCAACCTTATATAGCCGGCTCTAATCTATCGGATAATAGTGCTATATACTAATTAGTATACTAGATAGAAACCGGAGTTTAAGAAGGTCGTAAATAGTCGTAAGGAGGTATAGGTTTCTAGACGGAAATAGAAGCCGGTTACTACTAAAGAGCTAAGGATTTTTATCGGTCTAATAATATATATATTAGCCGTGCAAATAGACAATAAGGACGATTACTAGCGCTCCGATAGGTACTAGCCTGCTTATAATATCGCTAAATATATAAGTAACTACCGATTTCGATAAATTAAAGCCGCTATATAGTTTAGTAAACCTATTAAGAAGAATAGCGGGTTTCTACCTTAGAAATAGGTTGTTAACCTCGCTAATATACTAAGGAAGGCCTTTAAGCAGTATATAGTGCCTGCGACTAGTATTAGTATAGATAAGGTAATAGTACGGTTTTATAGGCGTTCTTACTATATTATAATAATAAAGGGCAAGCCGACACTAATCGGCTACTATATCCTCGCTCTATGTAAGCGTAGATATCTGTATAACTTCTTATTCTCGTCGCCGAAGAAGCAATAGGGGTTTAAGGTTGTTAGTAGTATAGAAGAGTAGAAGGATCTAATTAAGGTACTAATTCGACTAACCGAGGCGGAGCAGAAGGCGGCTTCGAAGGCGAGGAAGGCGGCGGAGACTCGGGCTCGTAATAGAGGTAGAAATAGTAGTATCGATACTAGCAAAAATAGTAATAATAGTCTAGCTAGTAAGCGGCGCCGAACAAAGAAGAATAGTTATATTAATATAGTAGTTAATAATAATAAAATCGAAGAAAGTAAGTAACTACTATATTAAGAAGCCTCTTATATGCTATACTAATCTTAGGGTCTAATAGCCGTTAATCTTATTAGCTTACTAAGCTCGCTTAGCTAAGCCGTTCTTCGGTTATTGCTTTAGCTCCTATATTCGACTTACTTCTTCTACTATTATATAGATAATCTATTTAACAATATACTGCTGTTTCGAGTCCTGCGACACTATAGAATCGCGGCGATAGGTACGGTATATACTAGCTCTAAATCTTAGCTATAGCAGGGCGCTGTATTCTATAGGATTTAGTTTTGTAGGGATTAGGCAGTAGGACTAAAGCGGGACTAGCATCTACCTCCGAAGGTCCTTTAAGAGACGATAACACTTAATAGGAAGTCTATACGTTTCCCCTTCGACACCTTAATAGTAAGATACTATTACGACGTCGCTACTATACTATAGTAAGACCGCAACCTCGTCTAAGTCCTTATAACTAGCTACTAGCCGCACTAGCGAGTCTAGAGGGCGAGACGCTAGCCGAAGGCTACTAACGACTTTATTACTAAACACGTCCGCCCTTATTAGGTTGCCCCTAACTAATAATGCTATATTCTAGTATAGGCGGCACTATATAACGATAAGACAGGCAGAGTCGATATCTACGACTAATTAAGAAGTTATTGCGCTACCTAGTATCGTTCCTTAAAGCTATAGTATCTACTGTTCTATTTCCTACTAGACTCGGCTATAATTAATGCCTATATACTATACCGCGACTTTACGTCTATAAAGGACAAATACCTTACTACTTAGCGCTCCTTCCGCCTCCGACTCGGCTAGAGTCTAGTTATAGAAGGCAGTAAACAGATAGAGGCAGAATAAGCCGAGAATAAAGCTAATAATAGTCTAAATCTACGAATACAAGGTAGGTTTATAGTAGGCTTCGTATATAACTAGTACTACGTACGCCCTTCTCGTCGGTTTTAATAGAAACGAGGCGACGTTATTCGAGCGTAAATAGACGGCTTCCGCCTTAGCAAAGACTACTCTTATCTAATAGACGGAAGACTAATAAGACAATAGCGCTACGACCTATGTAACTTTACTAATACTGCGCTTAAGATTAAGTCGTAGACCTTCTACTATACTAAGCGCTATTGCAAGGACTGTAGACCGAGTTAGAGTTTATATAAGGACTACGAGTACGGCTAGCATAACTACGTTAATCTTATAGCCTATCTAGAGCGACGACGAGGCCCTATAGACCTACTACTCCGCTAACTTCTACTTCTTATATAGTGTCCTTATCTTTAGTATATCTCTATATCTATTATAGCTAAAGTTCTTTAAGAAGGCGTAGATTGCGTCTATATAAGTCTCGAGATATAGCACTCGAAGCTATAGCTATATAAACTCGCGGAAATTAACCTCTTCCGGCCTCTTAACTTCTACGAGGCTCGGAGGACTCGAGACTAGGTCTAGCGTAGATTTAGACCTCTTTATCTTCTTCTTTAGTAGCGATATAGTACTATCGAGAGACCTCGTTATCTTAGCTCGTACTAGCAGTAGTAACTAAGCCTCTAGCTTCGGTAGTAGCGAGGATTTAGGCTCTACGGTCGTAGTATCTCTATATTCCTTTACTTAGTTAGCAACGACTACTAGCGGCTACTAGCGGCCTAAATATAGCTATATATATAGGTGTTGTAGCTATTGCTAGCTATCGCTAGTTGCTAGCTATTCTATAGAAGAAATGATATTTAAGCTACCCTTAGAAGTCGCCCTTATTAGCGGTCTAATAGGCTCTCGAAGAGGCAGCCGCTTAACTATAATCGTTACTACTAGCGAGGTCGCTCGGCAGAAGGCACCAATCAACAATCGGTAGCTATTCGCACACCTACCTATTTTACTAGGCTAACAGAACTCTGCTCGACGGCAACCCTTGGTTTAGCGCCAACCTTTACCGACCGGGCTGGTGAAGGGATGATCATCGCTGAACGACAACATGATCAGCGGCGGTCAATTGCGTGATAGGTGTAGTGCTGGCGGGAGCTAAGGGAAGACCTTACGCCCGGGTTGGGCATAGACACAGCAGGGCGAATGAATAGATTGAAGCAGGGGTTTGGTTGGCTTTCTTCAATACAAGGCTCATCCGTTCACTGAAGCGCACGGCGACTGACTCTTTTCACCCGAATGCGAAGTGGACATCCATCTACTTCAAGTTGCGCTCACGGCAGCAGGTGGTAGGGCAGGCATGATGTCATCTGTTACTGTACCTAGGATGCTTCTCGGACCTCACCTCACACCTTGAAAGGACTTCACAGCATACATATGTATGCAACACAGATATGCCCAAACGCAAGAAAAACGACACCGAACCCGAGGCCGAACCATCACCTGAAAAGAACAAACACAAAGAACCCCTAGATTCCGCACACCCTCCCACCTCCACCTCAAAACCTCTCCCACCCACCTCCTCAATCCCCTACAAATCCAAACAAATCCTCTACTCTCTCCACAAACCCCATACCTCCCATACCCCCCTAATCTTCACCCACGGAGCCGGCGGCGGAATCTCCGCTCCAGCAACCTCAGACTTCGCCTCAGGATTCGCCACCCAAGCCCCAATCCTCTGCTTCCAAGGAAGCCCAAACCTAACCCAACGCGTAAATTTTTTCAACGCGGTAATCGACCATCAGAAACGTGCCAAAAGTACTCCATGTCCTGCTCTAGGGGGGAGGAGTATGGGTGCTCGCGCGGCAGTTCTTACAGCTTTAGAACGAGGACACGATGATGTGAAAATGTTGGTGTTGGTGAGTTATCCACTTCTAGCCGCTGGGGGAAAGAGGGAGTATGAGCGGCGAGAGAAAATTTTACTGGAGTTGAAGGAGGGGGTTGATGTGCTTTTTGTTCTTGGGAGGGAGGATGAGATGTGTGAGTTTTTGAGGTTGGGGGAGATGAGAGCGGAGATGAAGGCTAGGAGTTGGCTTTGTGTTGTGGAAGGTGCGGATCATGGGATGGGGTGGAAGGGGAAGGCGAAGGTGGGGGAGGAGGTTATGAGGAGGAGGACGGGGGAGGTGGCGGCGAGGTGGATGGAGAGGAGGGAGGGGGAGAGGACGGAGTGTGAGGTTTGGTGGGATGGGGAGAGGGGGGAGGTTGTTTGTGGGGAGTGGAGGAGGAATGGCGATGGTGATCTGTCGGAGATGAAGAAGACGAAGCGATGAGTGTTTTACGAGCTGGAGCATTCGAAATTCAGGGCTGCTGGGTCATCTTGTTGGACTTCTATCTTCGTGACCCAACTACTGCTGCTTCCTGGACATCTTGTACTCAAGCGTCTTCTTCCAGCGCTTCATCGTCTCCTCCGCATTGTGCAACACCATACTGGCAAGCTGACCATGATGACCGCCTGACTGACGAGACTCCACAGCGATGCTGATGTACTCGTTCCGACCTTCGCCTTTTTCGCCCAAGCTCATGATGATGCCTGCATACTTCAACAGAATCGCATTCAGGATCAATCGACACATGCGACCATTACCATCCTTGAAGGGATGGATGTTAACGAAGCGATCGCAATACTTGGCTGCCAGCGCGAAAGGGTCAAGTTGATCCTTCTGCTCGGCTTGAGCCAAGTCAGCTTTCAGCTGGTTTACCATGCTCTGCATCTGGGTTGGGATCTCACTGGGCTTTGGAAATTGATGGCCACCGCCGATGTATGCTTGCTGGTTGGCGGCACGATACGTGCCTGCCAAGGACTTCGTACCCACGACACCGGCATCTTCGCCACTCAAGCCTTCCATCATGATCTTGTGGGTGTCTCTGATAAGCTGTTCGGAGAGAGGCTCGTTCTCCTTAACAAATTGCTGAATGAGATGCTGCAAAGCAGCAGCGTGCTGAACAACCTCGCGGCGAGTACGAACGACTTCCTTGTAGTTTGGATTCTTGTTGGTGTTCTGGTCACTCGTGACCCACTGGTTCAGTTTCTCTTGATAGTCGGCGCTTCTAGTTTCTGGTCAGCTACCGGCACTTCGAATATGGAGTCTTGCAACGTTCAGAGAGCCCACTTACCTCTCAGAATACTCGAACGCCTCCCCATTGAATATCTTCATACACATCTTGAAGGTCTCGTCCAAGCTCAAGCCACGGGCTGGCCTTGGGCCGGAGGACAATCCTTGACCACTACCGACTCGCTGATTCGAAGCAAATACAGCCCTGGCCATCTCTTCAACAGTAAGCTCCAACATGGCGCTTCGCAGCATCTTTGCCTTTGTGGACAACTTGCTGCAAATCTTCCATGAACTTTCTGACAGTACCGAAGCGCACAGTGACATCGTAAGGCTTGTCCTTTAGACTCTTGTCGGTACGCCACTTATCATCGTAGTAGCGATAGTCAGAGCTCATGCCGATCGTGAAAGTCTGGCCGGAGAAGTCGGGAGCGCTCGATCCAAGACGTAGAGATGGCGGCCAGCCTTTGCTGAACGTTCCTTTGAGACCACCGCGGAGAGAGTACTTGCTAGTCTTTGACGATGATGGAGAGCCAGAACTGGAGCCGCCGATATCGAGGTCGGGAAATTGTTGCAGGAGAGAGGCACACTTGCCCTTCTTCTTGGAGGGAGTGTTTGGGTCACCTGGATCCATATTCGAGGGTGGTTCTGACAGATTTTGTCTTCTTGAAAAGGCTTTTCGGATAATGCTATATGCTTGTGAGCTATGCAAAACCCTGTCTCCAATCAGCCGCTCCACACGTAACTCTTGGCAAAGCCAATGCTCTAGCGGAGCGTCTAACGACATAATGTTAGGCCCCTATAAATAATCGGTTATCTTAGTATCAACTAGCTTCTTATATATAGAATACCGCGATACACGTCCGAGATAGCTAATATATTAGCGGAGGGGGGTTCGAGATGTTTCTACGACGTATATAGTAATATAAACTAATTTTTAAGATATATAAAACTATAGAGTATACAGACTAAAAACCTGTAGGTTCTATACCTATATAACTACTTTGCGATAGTAGGCTAAATAGATTAATAACTATACTATCTATCTATACTAAACTATATAGGTAGCATCGTAAAGGTCTATTCTATTAATCGCTATAGCTGTTAATATCGCGTAATACGTCGGCGCAATATACGAGGTCCTAGTTAGTAGTAACTTAAATCTTCGATTTATCGACTAGGCGACTATAGTCTTCTAATTTCTACTATTCTAACGACGCTAAATCCTTTAGTATATCTTCGGATAGCATTTAGTAACTTTCTAGGGCTGCGCGTAACCTATACGTACTAGATACTATCGATCTTTATAGGTATTCTAGTATCGCTAGCATCTCGAGTATCGCTTAGTCGATTTCTAACCTTCTAACGACGCTAAACTTCCTTATATACCTCTACGACTTTAGCGTACGCCTAGTAGAGGGTTCTAGTATTATCTAGTTATCTTCCGTTTGTCTACGCTAGTACGAATCGGATATAGGACTCGAGAGCTATATACGCGTATCTTCGTTTACTCTTCTATTTGTCCGCTTATGCGATATCCTCTTCTCTTCTTTTTCTCTTCTCTTCCCTTTCTCTTCTCTTCCCTCTATATCGACTTTAACGCTATCTATTAATAATACTAACTATAGATAAAGGTATCGCGAGCTCTTAGGTATATAGCGACCTACGCGACGCCCTCCCGAATAAATATATATAGGAAATCGCTAATCGTAGAGCGCGCCTTGCCCGTTAATACTATAACTAACGAGTTCGTTAAAAGGCTATTAAAGAAGCGAATCGCCGCTAGCCGCGTTCTCTCCGTATATGTAAGCCGCTACCGCCGGCTATAGAAGAACCTAAATAGTCTAATATTAAAGACGAGGATAACGTAAACTCGGAGATTAAGGAGTAAGACGATAGATTAAGCGAGGATAAACTCGATATAGAAGAGCGCGCTAGCAATATACTTAGATACGACCCTAAACTCGACCGAGACTAGGACTAAGAAGAGTCGTAAGATAAATCTAGTAACGACGGTAACGATGCGACTCCTCGTGCCGGCTATAGTAGACGTAGTAGTAAGGCTCTAGGTACCGCGAGAGGTCCTCGTAATATAGAGTTAACCCCGAACCTAAGATTAACATCTACGCGACCTAGTTAATCTAGCAAGAAGCGTAAGAAGCGTAAGACTCGTATATCCGACGAATAGAAGTACGAATACGTCCGAAGTGCTATAGACGAGCAATATCTAATAATAGCTAAGTTTGTAGCTATATACGTCGGTATTTTAGGTATAAGAGACTATCGTTAGAAGGTACGCAAGCTTATAAAGAAGGCCTTTCTACTAAGTAAAGGCCTTATAAGTACGACGGAGATGCGTATAGAGCTAAAGCGACTCGTTAGAAGGGAGTTCTTTAGCGAATATAATCTCGAGGCAATTACTAAGGAAATAGAAGACGAGAATACTTCGAATACCGATCTCCTTAAGCGGATAGACTATAATATTAAGAGGATTGCTCTAGTCTAGTATCGCGTTCTATAGAGTGTATTACCTAATTAGCGATATACCGCTAGTAGGATCTAGGAGAAGCTCGTAGCCGCCGCCGATACTACTACTATTGCCGATAACGGTAATAGTGCTTAGGAGGATATCGTTAGCGACAAACACTAGCGTATAAAGAAGCGCATTATGTTTATTATATAGCTCGTAGTCCGATCGATTGCCTTAAGGAAGGCCGGCTAGTTTAGTAAGAAGATCGGTCTCTACCTTTATACTAGTAGTGTTAAGGCGCGTATAGTTAACGTTCTTAGCGCTATAGGTATCTGCCCGTTATTCCGTATACTCTAGCGACTTACCCGGAAGACGGCGTAGATATATCGACGGTACGCTATTAAGATCGCAAAGTCTTCTCGTTAATAGGTCCTTGTTTACGACAACTTCTGCCGCTAAGCGAACCGTAGAGGATTCTAGATGCTTAGAAGCAATACTATATAGTAGAACTTTACTACCTCGCATCTAGCAATCTATCTAGAGATACTAGAAGGTAGCCTAACTAAGGACATATTAGATTACCGATATAAGCTAAACGCTAAGTCTATCTTCCGGAGCATATCTAACGACAGATATAAGAAGCTAATGTCTCTATATTATATCGATTAGGCCCTTAGTTCTGTCTTCCCGAGTATCTAAGGTCTATTTAATAGCTTTAATTTTAAGTAGAAGAGCAAGTCTACGGGCAAGAGAAAGTCTAAACGCTAGTAGTAGACCGATAATTAGTAAACCGACGAATAGCAAGCCTAGCGTAAATAGCAAGCCTAGCGTAAATAGTAAGCCTAGCGTAAATAGCAAGCCTAGCGTAAACAGTAGCAGCGACGCTTGCTAGAGTTAGTTAAAGGTAGCAGTCCGAAGGAGCGTTTTCCTTAGGTTGCAATTAGGATTAAGTCGAAGAAGAAGACTTAGATTGTCTCCTTACTAGTCTCTATATACGACGAAGCCTCGATCTAGGAGACATACGAGGTCTATAACGACATATTCGAGAGCTTCCTTAAGCTAAATTCCGATAACGAGAAGTACTAGGACTAGCTAATCCTTATTATTAGTAACTAGATAACAGTTGCTCGTAATAAGACTATTAAATGCGAAAGCGTAGAGAGCACGCGCGCCTACGACCGTAAGGAGTTTATTGTTCCTATCCCGGCTTTCTTCTATATCGAAATGGACTGCTACTATACGACTTTGCGATCTCATTTCGATAAGAATAGCAATAGCGAGCCCCTTGCCTACTCCTTATAGGCCGATGCTATAAATCTTAGTGTTCCTCGTATAAACAAAGACAAGCCGTAGTACTATTTAGTCCGCTAGGTCGTCGTACGGTCTTTCTAGGCTCGGGTCGTCGCCCGTTTTATTTAAGAGTTAAGAAAGCGCTACAAGATTGATATAGGTAGCAAGCCGACCGATCTAGTTATAATTATAGCTCTCTCTACTATAGAAGATATTAGCAGCCGTAAGGATATTATCGATACTATTATCGAGTATATAGACCTATTTAAGTATATCGAGATCGTTAAATCTATCTACGAGGCTATATTTACTCGCACTATATAGAATAGCTAACTTGCTAATAGTACTCCTTATAAGGATCCCGCATTTACAACTATATACCGTATAGTCTAATAGATCGATAGCTATTTAACTATCTATAAATCGATCCGTAAGATAGACACTAGTTATCTTCGCCGTATAGTAGATTATCTTATCCCGTAGTTCCTTAGTGCTCGATAGTAGAACTATAGCCGCGAGATAGTCTACTTACGCTAGTTGTTTAGCAATATAGCAAAGACTCTACTTTAGGACGTAATTATAGCCTCCTCTATAGTTAATCCTAGGAGTAACGGTCGTAGTATCGCTATAGATAAGATATAGGAACTGCTTAATAAGGAATTCTAGATAGATATTAAAGCGTACGGCAACGCTACCTATAATTTAGCTACGACTATAGAGCTTGTTTTATAGAACCGGACGGCTGCTACGACTATCTAGGAGATAATAGAGTCGATAAGTATAGAGACTATATCGTACTATACCGATAAGAAGGCTACGACTTAGGTTTTCTTATATGCCTCTAAGTAGCTAAGCTAGTCGATAAAGGTCTTGCTAACTATAAGCTAGTAGTAGCTAAGATAGGCTAATCTAAGCTTAGTCTATCCGACGACGTATACGCTCTCGGCGCTACGTATATTATAGAGGTCGTCGATACGCTAAATAAGTCTAACTACTTATTAACCCTCGGCGTTACCCGTACTAGAAAGAATAACGATACGATTAATAGGGTCGATAGTATAGATAGAGCTAATGCCTAGGAGCGGATTAATAGTAGCGCTAATCGCGGTATTCCTAGTGCTAATATTAATATAGAGGTCTCGTAGTTCTATTAACTAATTATCGACTATATCGATAGTCGTAGACTAGCTTATCTCGACGTGCTAGTAGAAGAGATAGATCTATCTAGGGATCTAGCGAGAGCGACGACTAGGAGTAGTACTATATCGAGGGCTTTAGCTATATAGGACTTCTTATATATCTAGGATCTATCGATAGGCGAGGAAGAGGCATATCGTCGTATAGACCGTAAGATACGGATTTACCGAAGAGGTCCGGATCGCATTCGTAGTAGCTAACGACCTAACACTTATACCTAGTACTATCTAAGAGACCGCTACTACTACTACTACTAAGTAGTAGGATCTAGGCTAAGATAATAATAAGGCTCTTAGAATAGTAATAGCGCTAGAAGCGATCGAAGATTAACGAGACTAGCTTTTAGATTCGCTAGAGATAGTATTTAATAAGGTCTAGCTCCTTACTACTCTTCTATTATGTTATTATTAGCTCGCTATATCTCCTATTATTGCTCGAACAATGCTTATTATACCTCTGCGATAGTAAGGACTAGTATAGCTTCTAGTCGCTAGCGTAGCCTTAGTCGCTAGCGTAGCCTTAGTCGCTAGCGTAGCCTTAGTCGCTAGCGTAGCCTTAGTCGCTAGCGTAGCCTTAGTCGCTAGCGTAGCCTTAATCGCTAGCGTAGCCTTAGGCACTAAACTAGTAGTCGGCGACTATTGCCTTAAAGGTACGGTAATGTATAGCCGTTATTATTG